AGTGGTATCTAATTTCTCCTTACCATATCATCTCTGAATCAAGCATTAAGGTCGGGAGAATAAAGGAGCTGATCACCCATGAAAGAAGATCTTGATTGTAAGACAAATTCTCCATGTTGGCATCTTAAGAAATGTTTGGAGAACAGTATGGAGAATATGCTTACTGATTTTAGGGTGTAAAGGATGAAAATGGAAAACCCTGGACCTGCAGTAATTAGACACTATTGGCTAGTTGTTTAAACAAAGTTTAGCAGTTGTTTATCAAAACTTTGGTCTAAGCCATTTTCAATTTAACCAAACCTTTTATCCCAACAGGACCAAAGGGACAGTTATTTAATAATTGAATCAACCCTCTTAAAGAGAATCCCTGAGGCCCACTGATTGCATAAAACTGTGGTTTGGTTAGACCTTGTGTAAAAAACTAGCCCCACAGACTAACCCAAACCAGTTTTAGGCAATCAGTGGCCTCAGGCTTTCTTTAAATATCCTTTATATGTCTTCCTCTAGTGGCTTTTTGACCCTCTCATGCCCGTTTAGAAACATAAATGTTTAGATGAAAGGTTTGGCTAAATAGAGGATTTTTCAGGATGCTGTTCTGTTAAACAACTGCTAAACCTTGTTTAAATAGCCAGCCTTATGACTCATCGATTTGAATAATCTGTTACTTCTTTCTGTGGTGAAAATACTGACATTTTAAAACAAGGCATAGTGTTTTGAACAAGTGATGACTTTCCAATGAAACTATTTTAAGAGTGATAATGTGAAATTTGGTATACATGTACGTAAGTTAAGCATGAAAAATTGTTAAAAATCAAAGCCATATCTGAATTTTTCTTTTGACTTCAGGATATTGAAGGAGCCATGACAGCTTCAGAGGTCTCAAATGCTCTAGGTCTCTCTGCATTGAAGAGTCGCACATGGTCCATATTCAAAACCTCAGCTACAAAAGGAGAAGGACTTGATGAAGCTATGGAATGGTGAGTTACATTAAGAATTTTATTAATCTAATGATATACATGCAAAAATTATATGCATCTGATTGGATTCACACCCATTTAAGGAAAAATTCATGATTCACATGCGCTTAAAACAGCATTTCATGTGTCACAAATTTAATATGAAAATTTCAAATTGCACTTTCCTTGCCTTTCTGTAAATTTCACACATCCCATCTTAATTTTGGGCTTAATCATGCATTACATATAAACCCTTTGCCCTCCCTCCCCCCTCTGAGAACAGCTAGCCACAATTATGTATCTCAAACATAAGCCCAATCTTTTCCTAATCTAACAACTTTGCTTGAAAATCTCACCACCTCATTCCTATGACTCCTGACTGCTCTTTGGATACCATGGGGAACTAGTTGGTAAAAATTTTCATCAACTGTGGAAGACTCTGTCTCTGAAGTGAACTAACCATACTTAGTTTGTGAAAATCTAATTTTTTCATTTGGTCAGTTTTATTTTGATCACTTAAATTATCCATGGTTATGAATTACAAAGTTGGAATTACTGTCTTTTTTCAGGTTAGTGGACAGTCTCAAATCAAGACAGTAATGAACAAAGCTATTGGATATAATTTAAAAGTACACCTCATAAAACCAGGTGGTTGGTAGAGTTTGTCTATTGAAAAGGATCTGCCTCTATATAAAAGTTTTCCTCTATCAAACTTGTTTACTGGGTGTAATAGCTATTTTGTACAACAAATCTATAGTTATGGTTAAAAAAAGAGTATCAGAAAATCAAAAAAGTGGTTTTCTCTTTTTTCTAGATTTTTTTGCGGTAGTCATCATATTTAAGTAAATTTTTGAGCTGTGAATATTGTCATGTTGTTGTTGCAACATGTAGCAGTACATCAAGAGGTATTAATGTTCTCTTGTGTATTATCAAGTTAAGTTTATTCACACCCTAGTTCATTCTGATTTATTAACACAAAGTATTTATTTTGTGCTCAGTTCATAGGGTAACTACATCTGTAGTCCTCACTGAACTTCCTTTTAACCCTTTACAACCCTACTTCAGAATGCATATTCTCTATATTGTTCTCTATACAATTTATGAGGTGCTGACAAGGAGAATTTGTGAAACAATCAAGAGCTTCTTTAGTTGGGGATCATTTCGTTTCTTCTTGTGACCTTAATATGTGATTCAGAGGTGTTATTGTATGGAGAAATTAGCTTTTAGTCACTCCTTGGGTCAAAGGGTTAAAACTGTTAACAGCTCACTATTTTAATTAATTTTTAACCATTATGTCGGTATTTTTTTTTTCTTATTTTGTATGTAACCTTGAAATAATTGCGTCAATGGTTGAAACAACAATTACTGACATTTTAAGGGAAAGGAATTGAGTTACATTCAGTTTGGCTTTAGTTTCTTTTTGTTTTGTATGTAACCTGATGTTTTGAGGACTAAACTACTGAGCTAGCTGGAATTTGTTGGCTTTTTTTTTCAAGTTAAAACGATTTTCAAGAAGTACCTTTTTTTGTTACTGTTTCGGAGATTAGTAGAAACGAGAGCAGTGTTCACGTTACTTTGTTAGGAAGTGAAATTAGCCGACTCAATTTAGGCAAAATAAACTGGTTGAAAATTTTTTTTGTGGTAGTGGTTTTGTTCAAATAAGTTGTTATTCTCTAGTAACCCATTGACATCGATGCTAGCAAGAAGTGTTGGTGGTCTCGATACTGAAGGTAACCCGCTCACGGTTTGATCTCTTCAAGTGCTGGCCTTATCGCCCCAAGGTTAATACAATTTTTCGGAAGGAAGCTAAAAAACAACTCGAAACAACTTCATAAGAAACAAAAACAACGAAATGACACAGAAATGTCCACGTCAGTTTTCAAAGTCAAGGTTAGAGTTTGTTGACGTGATGGGCCAAATTGAGTGGTCACGCAAGTCGCGCGTGATTACAACAAGAATACCAAGGGGGAGAGGAAGAGAAAAAGTATGAAAACAACATAGACTTTGTACGTTGGCAATCATCCAACGAAAGTCTATCAAACTTTTGAATCACACATATAGCGAACATTAACTTTTCCTTTTTACCCATTTGTTACGCTTTTATCGCGCGCACTTTGGGTCTTAATTCTTTGATATCCACTTTGGTTACGTCAGTATCTTGCGAACTTTTACTTTTCCTTGTTGTCCGTTTGTCACTTTGTATCTCGCGTATTTTTGGTTCCACTTGTTATGCGATTGTTGTGTTATTAAATCAGGCAGATTTAGTTTTTCCTGTTGTCCAGTTGTTATGTTAGTATCTTGCACAGTTTTGGTTTCCTCTTTTATTCCTTTGTAACGCGTTTGCATCTCGCGTACTTTTGGTTTCTCTTGTTATGCAATTGTTACGTTAATTAATCCGGCACATACAGTTTTCATTTTTGGGCAATTGTTACGTTCGTATCTCGCGCAGTTATGGTTCTCCTTGATATCCTATTGTTACGTCAGTAACTCGCGAACCTTTACTTTTCCTTGTTATGTGATTGTTAGGTTGATTTTGTTTTCCTTGATGTCCGATTGTTACTTTTGTGTCTCCCACTCTTTTTGTTGTCGTTATTGTCCGATTGTTACCTTTGTGCCTCGCACAGTTTTGTAACTTTAAGTTACTCGCGCACTTTTAGCTTTGCTTGTTGTCCGATTGTTACGTTAGAATCTCGTGCAATTTTGGTTTCACTTGTAACGGGAACTGTTACGTTAGTTTATTATCCAACTGCACAAAATAGAGTATGAATAACGCGCGAATTGAGTACAAATGTCCGATGTTGTACCAGCGAAATTGTACAGTTGTTATTTGTATCTTGAAAAAACCTATTTACAATTGGTTTCCCTTGTTGTGCCATTATTAAGTTAGTATCTCGTCTACTTTAGGTTTTCCTTGTCCGATTTTTAAGATTCTAAACTTATAATTACATTTACCCTCTCCGACTGTCAATCGGCCACCATCGTTTTCATGCGCTCGAATTTTCGAATTTGTGTGACCTTTGGAGCTCTCCCTCATTTGCATAATCTGTAATCGGCTGCTTAATGCCCTGCCTTGTTCTCGCTCTAAGCCAATGAGAATGCACGCCATAATTGTTGGTATCGTTATATGTTTTATGTATACTGATCAGTATACATAAAACATATAACGATACCAACTTCGAAGAATAACGTCAGTATTGTACCTTGTGTGATCCCATACCTGGTGATAAGTTTAATTCAAGTTGGATTTTGCTTAACTTTGCTCTGTTATTCCCCTTAAAAATTCGCAGCAGCCTTTTAACTAATAAAGCCTAAAGCTGAAACCAATCATATACCGGTAGAACTCGTTTTATTCGCTTGATCCATTAAAAGTACGTGATTCGTCAGTCTCATTGCGATTCTTCGCTCTGTGCCTTGGATTGAACCTAATCAAGAACTGCTCTTCAAGTATTTTTTTCAATGGTATACTTGCTTAAAAACGCCTTGGAGCTGTGAGGTTTTGCAACAGAAAAACGCACGTAACCCGTATTGTTTATTTAACAAGTAGATTTCACGATACCATGCGTCTAGTCAGTAATGGATCTCAGATGCTGACGTCAAAATGTGGTAAGAACAAGGTGGCAAACGAGGCACAGCTGAGTGCGTTACTGATGATGTTACAACATTCCGACGTCTACTATCATCTATTACTGGACAGATACACACCAACATGGACACTATTTGTTTTAGAGTGTTTGAAAAAGAAACAAAATGTTGTTAATGGTGACGTGATCCATGCGTCTGTCCTTTAATAGATCATAAGTAAGACCCATGTATGTATTATAAGCTATAGCAGAGATAACACGTCTTTACAAAGGGCAGACCCTCAATATCCTTTCAAGGCGGTGTCACAGCGTTTTGGATACCCAAAACGCACTCTCGCCTCTGCTGCAAAACGTTGTGACAGCGGTACACCAAGTGGATGGGCTTGAGTTTCAGATGATCTAGACAGCGGAGAACTGGAAACGATTACTAACATGAGCCTGCAGATCACACAGCTGGCATAAAAGCAATGGCGGCTAGTAAGAAGTATTTCTTGAGTTTGTTTGGACGGAATTTTCACCATGTTCTTTATCAATCTCGACTCCCTCATTTAATGAGACCAAATATGCGCTTATTATCCGACAAAATAATCGACAGTTCAGACACAGAGCCACCCATACCAGTGTACAAATCGCCTCAAAACGAACCGGTCGATCGCAAACGAGCAAGATTACTCTACCAAAGCAGGTACACATATATAAAACTACTGAAATTTAAATGGTGCACTTGATCAAACAAATTCAAATGGATTTAGATAAAAGTAAGTTAAATTCATTTTACATCTGCTCCAGGAAGCGTGGAATGCTGGAAAATGGACTCCTGTTGAGGTACGTGGCTACCATAATCATGGTTAATTACGTAACATGGTTTGGGTGAAAGTGTCAGATCGTTTCTCGTAGTATTTGTTTTGTTTAAGCAGAAGCATACAAACAAAAGCCTGTAATGAAAACTTTGAAAGTGAATATAAATTTCTGCACAGGCTATCTGGAGTCAAGATTTCCGTACAGCTCCATATTTCATCATGCATACGATTTTTGGACAAAGAAAACAATGGCGTAAAGATTAGGTTGCCTTTGGGACTACAGCTTTGTTGTAGAATAGTATGGGGTTAAACGGAAATCTTTCCGGGCTCAAATCAATGCTTCTGTTGCGGGAAGGGCTTGAATATTTTCTGAAACAATGCAGTTTCAGTTGCACCCATGTGTTTCAAGTGTTGTTAAGGGAGCCCAAGGGGAAAATGTGTCATCTTCATGGTCCAAATGGTGATAAATTGTTAACATAAAACAACCTAGCATGGATTTGAATGTGAGTAAGATGGCCATAGCAGTTTACCCCTCCTCCTGTCCCCTACTGAGAGGTCTTATACTTCCAAAGAAATATATTTGAATTTGATTTTTAATTGGCAGCACATTTGCAGATAAGCATTTAGATGGTCTGAATGATAACCAGCTGGATCAGTATGACAAGCTGATAAATGAACCTAGCAATGACTGGGAGATATACTACTGGATGACAGACAAGAAACCTACACCTACAGAGTATGATAATCCAGTTATGGAATTGCTTAAGATCCATGCAAAGAATGAAAATATGGAAGAACGTATCAGACAACCAGATCTTCAAGCAAAGTAATCACCATGAAAAGTCTTTGACAGAGTATTCTCCCTCTTATTCCTTAAGAACCACTGGGGATTTTTACAAACTCTTGCATTGCTGTTCTTTGAATCAGTAAAGCCTGTAACAGTTATTTGGGTTACTTTGGAAGTTGTAAAGGCTCAAGGAACAATTCATCAGAAATTGTGAGGTTTTGAACAACAAAACACTGTTGCTCATGCAAGAGAATTACCACAACCTTAACAAAGGGTGGTAAAAAAATTTGTTCCTCAGACATCCATGACAAATCTGAAAGTAACAACATTTGTTATAACAAGGGAGAAATTTAACATTAAGTTTTGAGTTAGGTGTTTTTGTCTATCCCTTTGTCCAATTAAAAAAAAAATATTGCTCATAACAGAAAACTAAACTTTCAAGTTGCTTCTATTATTTATTGCACAAATGAGATATAAACACTTGAAAATATCCAAGTTAATGATTCTTTGGGCTCTGGGGTGTGACTTTTGCCTTAATGACTTTACATGCATGATGTGAGATGTATTCATGCAGGGTTGCACTCATTACTTTTTCAATTCTGAACACTCTTTTTTGTCTTGATATGTTTGTTGAGAAAATCATTATTTTCTTGAAATGGAACTGTCATCACCAAGTACAATCACCAAATCTCTGAATGAGTTTGTCCTGATCACAGAGGTCCTTCTGAACCTTCTTTCTCATGTAAAAGATGGGACAATCACGACTGAAACAAAACAGATATTAACCATGTAAATGCATAACACAATCAAAAAGTGCCATGGATTCAGATTTAAATGATCCCAAAAGATTTTTCATTCACTTAAAAGTATTCTGTGAGTTAAGAAGCAAAGTAGAGTGTAGAACCTTAAACTCCAGGATCTGATTGTTAATTCTCCCTTCTCACTGCTACACAATTCCTTGTAATTTGGTTACCAGAATTTGGTGTTAGAACCAGATAAAATCTTCCACCTGACAAGTTTGAGTATTCTCATTATTTGTCTGCTGGATAGTGTACGGATATTATTATCATAGGGGTAAGTTACATGTTAATCACTTCTGGGAGTCAGAGGGTTAATATTTCTAGGTGGAAAGAGGAGAAGAGAGTGAAGTGTCCTGTTGAAGAACACAACTATCTCTCGTCAAAAAATATCAATCATCGTATTTTTCACACCTGGTACACAGTACATCAGCATGCAGACTGCCTTGACAATTTTGACATTGAGTCCATAGCCTTGCAAACTTTTCTTCCAATGCATTCAGGTGAGAAATCTCCTTTTGGTAGAGACCAGACTCTTTAGGCTTACAGTGTTTACAGACAGCAGAATCTGGTAAGCAAGGGAAAGGATGTGATCAGAAGTTGTGACAACACATCTCAGAACAGTAATGGAAAAACTGATTCATGCCAAATCTCCAATTTTTTTTTTACATAAATTGAAGTTCAGACATATGTTTTGTGTACAGTTGTGTTAGTGTTTTATGAGAATTTTTTGAGTGTAACAGCTTAATTTCACACAGTATACTCACTGTTGTCAAGGACTGCTTTACACCCAAGGCAAGTTTCTCTCTTCTTAGTAAACATAGCCAGCTTGCTCACTTTTGATGTTACAATAGTTTTTGTGAGTGTATGTTGCCCTTCTGCAAAGATATCAAACAAGGGAATTAAAATAAGAGTCTTTTGTTTAGTTGAATTGGAGAACAAAAGCAGCAAATCACACTACACATGGCCTCACTTGAGATTGTCATTTGGCAGGTTGTGAGAGTAAAGAAAATTATCAATTAGAGAACTATTGGTTGATCCAATATAAAATTTGTAGAACTTGCATCACAAGAGTTGTACAGTTGATAGTAATGAGAGTTGCTAATGAGATCTTGGGAGTGAAAAGGTTAAAACAAATGTCTTCCAAATGTAAGGTTTGAGAGCATTGTATCACAAACATTAACAAGCTCCTTAGGAGGCTCATTATGGAAATCTAGTAATAACACAAGTTGATATTATTTAGTGTGGCTGCATATTAATGTGCATGAACTGTATGCTTTTTGTGAAAAGATAGACCATATTTAATTTTTAATACAGTTAATACAGTTCTTTGAGGAAGGATCTTTCTACTTGATAACAAAGTCATTGGCTATTTACAGTGTAAGGGAAGGAAAAATGCAGACTTACTAAGAAGCACAGAGGTTGCTTTTGCCTCTCCCAAAATAGGCTCAAATATTCTCAGCAAGGGATTTGACAACTGATTCTCAAGGTAATATTTTGTGTTTGTTGTTCTCATAAATGGGAGGAATGTTTCTTGTTCTCCGGTGGGAGACTATAGCAGGTAATTTAGTGTTAACAACTGGGTTGGTAAATTAGCCACCTGTAAAAAAGAGATGTTTCAAAGCCCTTTGATAATATTTTAATATTTTTTAAAAACAATCAAGTGATTTGAAAAAAAGGTTCTATTCACCTCAGCTTTTTCATAAGCTTTCTCTCCTTTAGCACCAGCAATGATGACATATGGGACTCTGTCTCCCAGCTTGGGAGCAGAACCAGCATCACGTTTCCGCATTCTGTGAAAAGCAAAAAGCAAAATACCTTAGAAGGTAACTTTTTGTCACAATCATGTGCACAGGTTATTATTAAACTGTACAATTTGGACTGAGGCAACAATAATACAAACTGATCAACTAGGTGTTATAAAACCAAAATCAAAGAAAAAACAATGGAGAATCAGATGAAAGGAAATACCCTGAAGAGTCAATGAGAACTCAAAGTAAAAACAAGAAAACTTCCTATAGTAAATAGAAAGAAAGGCAGGCAACTAAGTCATGAGTGGAGTTTGTTTTGCATATAATTGGTTGAAAGAGTGGACTGGTGTGAGATTTTCAGATTAATAACATGGCATAGTAAAACAAAACCAAAGCAGTCCTAGATCACTTTCAACACTCAGTTGAAAATTACTCTATCATGGCTACCAAGTTAGTTGTAAATCCGACCTCTCTGCCAGCTCAGAATGTGCCTGTTTCCCAGCATATTCGTCCCCTGTCTTTGTCAACTCCTTTGTTATCACCAGCTGTGAGATATCAATTCTGTTGCACAGAAGGTCTGATATCACTTGCTTTGTGTAATCAACAGCTCCCATGGGATCCCTATGGACAAAAACATTTATGACTTACAAGTAAGAAATTGACTGAATACAAATGATCACATGAACCAGTAGTGATGAGCAAGCTTCAAAGACCTGTACCTCTCAATGAGAATTTTTTGTAAGCAGGAGTTAATAAGGTTTGCAACCAGAGGGCAGTTATCTCTTCTTACCTGTGAAAATAAAACAAAACCAACAATTAAGAAAGAACCTACACTGATCTAAAGGCCATTATTATCAAAGAATAAAATAAATAAAAGTAACAAAGAATCAGTAGCTATGCCTGGGAAAAAGACTGAGAAATTATCAGTTGAAGAGCTAATTAGCAGACTTACTGTTTCTATTCCCTTGCAGTCCATTTTGTCATGCTTATCGGCTTTAGTAAAGTACAATCCAGCATAGCGCTTCTTGCTGATCAGAAGATATGGAAAATACACCTGCAACAATGTGCAAAATTGCATAATGCAATTAAAAAAAGACAAGAAACAAAATCAACCTGGGAAGGGATCAGTCCACTATGTTCCAAAACTCCATCAATTACATCTTACCTTCTCAAACTCCAATTTGATGGGTTTGATAAAGTGACCAGATACATAACCTGCAGCTTCTTTACCAAGTTCCATGCTCTCTGCGACAGAATCCACTCCAAACTTGACCATTACAGAATCTGTGTCTCCATAGATGACCTAAAGGCAACAAATGTGGTGTACAAGAAGAATTAAGCCATCCTCTGATCAGCTAAATTGTACAGTCAATAGATCTTATTCAGTGGTGAAATTTTGTGTTTATCTGTGTGGGTACTTCATAACAAACAGCATTAATTCAACAGTATTTACCTGAGCATTTGTTTTGTACCCATTATCCACTGTATATTTTTCTTCAACAAGTTCTTTTGTTCTCTCTATCATCATGCGCCCAAAAGCCGTCACACTCTGCAGTGAAACAATATTCCACATTTTATCATTGTTGTTTCTTCCTTACTGTCATCACCAATTAAGGTTCCATTAAAAATTTTAAACAATAATTATGTGAAAATTTTAAAACACATTTGAAAGCCTATTGCATGGGTGGGAGGGTTACAATTGACATTCCCAGAAGTGGATTGCATTCAGTTTACATTTTGACCCTTACAAGTAATTCACATGGAACTTCTTACTGTCAATAGTTATTCACTAAAAGGTCTTGTCTTGATACAACACCAATTTCTCTTTACTTAATTACAAGAAAATGTATATCAGCAAGGAGTGGGAATTAATAATCACATTGTAGGAGTTTAAGAGTCAAATGGAGCTGGGATCAATATACAGTCCCTATGACAGGTACAAACTTAGAGGGGCAGTTGCAGAATAAATTCAACTAACCAGAAATTAGACTTACAATGCAACTCGATCAAAGCTTAGTTATATTTTGAACTTGTAGCTACCTGTGAAATTGGCAGACAGGGAAGCTTTCCAACTTGTGCTCCAGTAAACCCATACACAGAGTTTGCGCTTAACTTAAGAGCCAGCTGTCGACCATCAAGAACCTATGGTTAAAAGCATTATAGTTGAGTGGGTGGCAAATATTTTTAAATCAAATCATTGAAGTGAAAAAAAATATATCTGCTGAGTCACAATTTGTACCTTCTTCCTGAAAGGGTCTGTTTCTTTCTTTAAATCCTCTTTAGCTCTAATTGAGAAAGATCAATGCATCATTACATCAGACCATATTGTCATCAAGCATGTGTGTGTTTATCATTATTTTTTGTCAACCTAACATTTAAAACTACTGTTATCACTTTGTTAGCTACAAAGGAGATTTTGATGTGCTAAAAATGTATTTAAGCCATTTGCACACTAAGAAGACTGTTCAGACTGTTTTGTTGTCAATCTTCAGTTTTTATTTTTGAATGAAATGCCCTCCAAAGTGACAATATTGTTACGCTGTTGCACCACTTTGCATCGCATCAGTTTAACTAAACTTTTGTTTTGGCATTGTTATGCCAGATATTATTCTTGAAATTGCCTAACAATGAAATTAACTCCCACTCCTTCAACAGTCTACCTCGAGACATCATGAAAGAATGCAATAAGTAGTGAGAAATTAACATCCATCCATACTTTTTCCTTGCAGACAACAAATGCTCAAGAATTTCAGGCAGCAGTCCTTTCCTTAGAGATGCCTTCACAAAATAATCTCCGGAAGGGGTCTTGATAAACTCATCAGGTTTTAGACTGAAATATACAAACATGAAATTAGCCATTTAATAAGCAGTAGAAGCAAGATAGATCACCTTTGATAACTTTTGGTGTTAACTAAAGAAAACTTTTTGAGCTTATGATCATGATCATGATCATGATCAATAATAATAATAATAATAATAATAATAATAATAATAATAATAATAATAATAATAATAATAATAATAATAATATTATTAATAGTAATAATAAACACTTGTTCAGTACCTATCCAGTTCCCTCTAGATGCTTCTCAAAATTGAGAAATAGATAAAAATACGTCAATATTTAAAAAAATTAAAATTAATATGAAAAAGCTTTTTTTTTTACCTACTTATCATCATTAGTACTTGATCATGTTTTTGCCATGCTTTTGTAAAATCTATGGATGATTAATTTTTCAAGAGTAGGAATACATCAAAATTCAAGAAACATCTCTACAACCTGATATTTCCTTAATTCATTTTGAAATAAAAATCTTGCCAATGTTATGTGTTAGTGACTAAATCTTTCCATCTGGTGACTGGAAGGAGAGTACTCAGTCACCATTTGGTGTCTGTCTAAGAAGTCACTGTTAAACCCTGTGACTGAGCTTTGACTTAACATAAAAACAGTTTACCATATTTCTGCAATAATACTGTAACAAAAACTACATATTGCCAAGCATGTTAGCAAGATCATGACCATTTACTTACCTAGCCAGATCACTATGATGCAGAAGAGAGGTGTAACACAAATTGTGAGCCATCATGATAGATGGGTACAATGAAGAGAAATCAAGTGTTGCAATAGGAATGTCATAATACCTGTGAAGAAAAACAAACAAATAACTTTCTCTTGCTAATTAGGGAATAATGAACGTAACATGGATAGATTTTCTGATTACTGGTGACATCTGAATTAATTTCATGAAGCACTTTTCTACCAATCAGACAAAATCAGTGAAATACTTTCAATACAACTACAGCCCACTTACTATTCATTGACTTTAACAACTGAAACTCTGATGTGAAAAGGAGTTTACCCTTTAGATGGTTCAATGACTGTGGCTCCAGTGTATTCATCTCCAGCTTCTGCCTTGTGAGCAGGAAGTAACAAGTCTTGCTCTTTAGACTAAAAAAATGTCACAGCATAATTTTGATTTTAATGGTGTAAGGTTGCAGTTGACAACCCCTCATAGCAAGCTACTCCTTGTTTGTATTACAGCAAAGCACAACTGATTTTACTGCAATCAGATGCAACTGTTCATTAAAAATACCTTCAATTACAGCCTACGTCCATTATCACAAATTCCAGGAACCATTTATGCACATAGAAGAGCCACTATAACAGTAACAATTTTCCAAAAGAAAAGAAAAAAAAAACTGGACAGTGTCTGTTTGATCCAAATTCTTAAGCTCATGGGGATAAGCCTCAAGTCACATGTAAACCAAGTTGAAACTACAGTCTGATATCAAATAGACTAACTTTGAGTATTGGGGAACTCACCTTTCTGAGGAGCTGTGAAACAACTTTTATCTGCTGTCCTCTTGATAAGAGATAACTAAGAGGAACACCAGTGACTCGTGCCATCTCCATATAGTTAATAAGGCACATAAGTTTTTCTAGTAACCTCAGAGGAAGAATAGCATCTTTCATACAATAAATGGCCAGTCTGCGACGGGTTTGGTCGTTTCCATTCTTAATAAAAATGATTAATATTTTCATTAAAATCATTTGAAAATCTTTTACAAATACACATATATACTGGAGGTCATTGAAGATCATGATGTTTTACCAAAACATTTTTAGAATTTTTCACTTAATTAAGGCACTAAAACAACTCTAACTAAAAATCTGAACATTATCAATTAAACCTCGCAATACTCTAAAAATCCTTGGGCAATTAATCAATTAATGGTAAATACACAATATCTTTTCTTATGTACCTGTAAATCTGTTATAATATTGTGCTGTACATCTTCTTTCTGTTCTTGTAGAAAATAAAAACTGACATAGTTCAGGGTGTAAGATCTCAGTTTGTAATCTCTCAGCAAGGCATGTAACAGATCAAACTGAACACGTCCAGAAATGTTTATGACTTTGTTCTCACGTTTGCCATAAGCACGGGATTGAAAAACTGTGTTTGATATGGTGCTCTTTTCATCTCTCACACGTCCAAGGAATGAAAAGGACTGAACCTTCAAAGCTGCTGCTCGATTCAGTAAATAGGGAAGGTCAAAGTTCACAACATTGTATCCAGTTATGATGTCAGGGTCCACTTTTTTTACAAAATCACTCCATGCCTTTAAACAAATGGATAAGAAAAGCAGAAAAAGGAAATTAGAAACAGCAGAACTGTAATTACTTACTAGACTAAGTTTAATTATGACAGCTTATGATCATCATAAATCAAGAAGTACAGACATTTTTGTTCCTTGTAATAAAAAGATAAGAAAATCAGCAAAAGAAAATTAGAAACAGCAGTACCATAATTGCTTACAGGTCTAACTATGACAGCTTATGGCCATCATAAATAAAAAAGTACAGACATTTTTGGTCATTGTAATAAAAAAGAAGAAAGTCAGGAATGTTGCTCAATATGTAAGTACCTTTAATAACTTAGACTGTACCCTGTTACAAGACTGATGTTGCAGTATAATGTTATCCCAACACTTAACCTTAAAAAGTCATGGAAATTGTCAAGTTGACAAATTCCTTTCATAGCAGCCTACTTATGATGCAAGTTTGTCACTGAAAAATGTGTTGCATATGGCTCTAGTGACAATCATCCAAGACCCATAGATATTTCCTGAAAATATTTCTTTACTGACAATAATTGCCATCACTGTTTTAGAACTTGGAGAAAATTTTGAAAATAACCATTTTCTTTTCTGTTGTGGAGTTAGTTAAATTGACTTAATTTTTAAATGCCACAGACCTGAAGCATATCTTGTTCCCTTTTATATGACAAAACATGTGACCCTACAATTGGAGCACAGGAGTTCAGTGTGAACACATTTCTGATGAATGGATCCTTATCACCCTGATTTATGACCATGTTTGCAATCTGAATCACTGAATCTTTCTCTGGTTCAGGAAACACTCCCTTTCTGCCAGCACATTCTATGTCAAAACTCAGGATTCGAACTGGAGCCACTTTAGACCATTCACCTTTGAACAAAAAGGAATCATGACAACAATTACAATCATTACTATAAAGTTCCTCTTACCATTATAATCAGAATATTACAAAACAACTTTTTTTCTAAAGAGTCAGAGGTATGAAATTACACAAACTGTTGCCAGTTGGCCAAGGACAACAAGTCAACCAGGCATGGGATAAGAATAAGCTGTAAAAGTTTACTTGCATGCCCTTACTGCCAGTGCAATTGATCATAATACAAAAAACATTGCCTAAATATTCTAAGTGATCATAGTTTTCTGAGAATCACAATCAGTAGTGGTAATGGGACTGAATGGAGTCCAATTCCAGCTGTAATCAGAGGATGACCACAAAGCAGCAGTCTGATCAGTTAATTATGACTATGACTGCTAGGAAAACTGGAAGATACACAGTCTTGTTACTGATTAATCAAAACTATGAAAACACTTGACTTGTAGGCAATCCCATAGATTAACACCCGAATAGAGCTGGTGATAACCAATCACATTGAGAATTTTGCTTTGGTTCTGATTACCTCCCTAATGTATAGTACATAATTTCAGAGGAAATAACTTAGAATTGACTAATTACCTTCAGGACTGTGACTAATGAACTCATCATAGGCAACATCCACTTCAATTTGACAATGAGACACAGGCTGGGCCTCACTTTTTCCACTACCTCCCATGGAAGGTGAACGCACTCTGTATTTCCCAGCTGGTAATTCTATCCAGTTACAGCCCACAACACTTGTGTCTACCATGAATCGAACCTTTCATGTTCAAAACAAGAAGAAGAAGAAAAAAAAATAAACAGGACAGTTATTAACTAAATTGGTGCCCTTTTTCAGCCTCACATTTCTCATGAGTGAGTCACTGTACTGTTAAAGTTTGTTTAGCAGACAACATTCAGGATTTTTCCCCTTCTTCAAGCATGAGTTTAAAATGGTCAGAACCAGTGTTGGAAAGATAATGTGGAAAAAGCATCAATCCCATCTAAGTGGAGGGACAATAACCTTCTCACCCCTTCATACTGTAAAAACTGGTATAGCAAGCTCTGATGAGCTTGGCAACCAACTATCAACAAATTCCCTGGCTGATAAAAAATACATAAAGATGTTCACTGCCCTTTGGGAAACCTTAAGGTTACAATTTTACATTGATACATCTTCCTACAAAGGTGAAACTTACAACAGAAAATGAAAGTTATAATAAGATTGTAACATGCCTCATAATCAATGTTGCTTTCATAAGTGGAATATCCTCTTTCTGGGAGATCTGCACATTTAAAGCCAGTCTCCAAAATCCGTTTAGCTGGTGCAACAAGTTTTGGCAGTGCCATGGTGATGCGAAGGAATGGGATCTTCCTGTTGCTATGGTATCCATAAATACTCTCCTTTGTCTCACAGTCAACGGCAAGAACAGCCTGGGTAATGAAGTGGTTAACATCTCCTTACACCATAATATCAAAAATTACTTGGAGAACAGTTGGGAAAAGTTAAAAACTAATAGGAGGGTCTTATTCAGATAAAACACTTCTTCCTTTTGGCTAATTTTGTTGAAAATTGGGATCATGTGTACTAAAGGCACCCGTGGTCAAGTGACAATTGATACCAGTGATCGACACTTAACTGACATATCGATCGAGTGTGGTTGACATGCGATCCACTTGACGGTCAAGTGTCAATAGACAATTGGTCCATATGTCGATCGACACATGGTCCACACTAGCTAGACAAGGGTCAATAGTCGGTCGAGTGGCAACCGACTCATGTGTTGGCCGGCAGCATCCTTATCGTGACGGCTAATCGGCCAATTGACTGTCGACTCTCGGCTGACTTTTATTAGTTTTCAACCTTTATACCTTTTTATCTTAATAGTTAATTATTGTATCTCTTAGTCTTACAAACCTTGTCTTGCTGATCCGTTTTGTAAGTTACGGATCCTCGTTTTTCCCCCTTATGGCCTTGCGCACTTTGTGTTTCAGATATAACTCCAAAACTTAGCTGTTTCTACTAATTTTAAGGTGCTCTTTCCAGCTTTTTTCCAGATTTTAGTCATTGGTATGATTGGTTCACCACACTTGACTACTAGATACCTCTTACTAACTGAGTTCGAGGTCTGTACTGGACGGACTGAGTTTTTCAGTCCCCTCTTTGATTTATGGCTGAAACACAAATCGAGTTTGTTGGTTCTCAACTCTGCTCTGAGAGGTTTTTCTCCGGGTACTCCAGTTTCCCCTCTTTGATTTACAGTCTCCCCAATTAGTAGAGCACTTGTGTTTGGCTAGAACGATTTGAGACTTAAATAAAGTTAAAGACGTTGACAGCATATTTTTTTTACTTTTTTGTATTTTCCAGAACAGCATTTGTGACTGGCTTTTTAATGTCACTAACACTGGACTCTAGAAAAAGAGTTTCTTTTTCTTCCTTGTGAAATAATTATGAAAATTTGAACCTCTTGAGCTGGATTTTTTTTCCGCTGGCTTTCCTTCTTTTCGATGGAAATAATCGAAGGACAAATATCAATGCAGATGGGGGTTATTGCAAGATAACCATCCAACCACATGATGTAAAGTAGCCAATAGTGTAACTCATAGGATTACATGATAGTCACAATAAGCTGCACTGTACTGCATTTGAATTGCGATATTTGAAGTACACAACATAAACGGAAGTTATTGGACTGGAAAGATTAAATTCACAATTTCATTGATACTTTCTGTTACGCCTTATAGTGACAGGCCTGGATCTAGGAGGAATTCACACCCGTTATGAAGGAGTTCTGAAGATATTGAAACAGAGAAAGTGTTCCCTTGCCAAGGCTATGGAGAAATATGGAGTGGCCAGAAATACGCTGAGGGAATTCATTGGAATTTGTGAGCTAAAAATCTTGGACAGAGATAAGTTCAACACAGTTGTTTCCACTGAGAGGGAGCGTTGTGGAAAGCTGTTGGTCAAAGATATCGAGCTACGTTGCTGAGCTGCCCTATCAAATGATTCAAGGAAGAAGTCAGACTTCTTCCTTTCTTTCCTACAGGAAGCTTTTACACTGGAAAATAACAAAGAAACTCCTTAGGCATTTAATCGATAAAGAGAAGCTAAGGATCTAGGAACTGCCAATAACACCCCCCGCCCCCAACCGTCACCACCCCACATTTGAGAAAAAAAAGCTTTCATGAGGTGCCTGTTCTGAGGAAATGATAGAAACATAGATAAAGTTTTCAATCAATTTTTAAATGAGCTGAACTTCCCTTAATCACTTAGTATATCAGTTAAAATCTTAGGAGATCTATCCAGGATAATTATGATAATGCACTAAATGTTACATACTTAATTTGTCCAGGATGTATGTCTAACAGGACTTATCCAACCTGTCCTTTGTAAAGTCCAGTTCAAATCATCACTAACATCCACTGAAGGCCTCAGTCTCAATGATTCGGTGGTAGCTGAGCGAGGTTCCTCTAGTGTGAGCTTTGATCACTAATCAATTAACTGTGTTAATGTAATGAAAAAACTCCAACCTTGAATGACAGCTCGACTGAATCAAAACTTGGCAATTAATATATATTTCATTCTTTGTTTCGTTCAGTATATATACTGCTAACGACCCATAATTCCCTAATTCGCTTTGACAAAGGCTAGGGTAAATGCTCAAAATGTCAGCTCTCGCATTCTTGTACCATGGTCAATTTACCACATGAACTTAGTTGCTAAACCCAAATTTCTTTGTGTGCAAAAGTATCACATCTCTTTGTGTCTTGTTCTGTAATGAAATTGTCAACCGAAATGATATCTACAAATCTTTCCGGCTTGAATTGAAACTGAATGCAGCTTGCCAGTTTTTGTGCCACGAATGACGTGGTTTCCTTGTATGTACAATCACTAATCACCGTCCATTCCAATCAGATGCTGTGAACCATATTTTTTCACTATGAAATTTCATCATTTGTGTCACTTATTGGCTGTGACTCTAAACTGAATGATTATTTTCATCACTCTCATTTCGGGAATAAGTCTCAGTACTTATATAAAAACAGTTTATTGATCATGAGTTACAATTAGATTCTCAGTTTTCACAAAAATTTACTCATGATTCATGAATCACAGTCCGCAAAACAAGAAGTTCACGGATCTTTCTTGAAAGTTCCATTAACTTTCTGGGCCTGAAAAGCCACTTCAAAAACTGCAATCCACTTATTCTAGAAAGCTGGCCTTTTCCTATGATTTCAAGATACGAAAAGGCAAACTTGTTGCAAAATTTCACTCCTGGGAACGTCTTCATCTTTGAGATACATAGGAAATTACAGCATCCGAAATAGACCCAGAAAGTTTCAGGAGTTTCGAGAAACGGACCCCAGGTGAGGCTATCAATTCACAATTCTATCACAACTGAAATTGAACTCTTTTCACAAATCACGAGCTTTTTCCCCCTCAAATCAGGCATCTCAAATAACCCTGTACCACCCTGTTCAAAGTAACTTTTGCTCTTGCAGGAAATCTAAGAAATAGCTCACTCAACCTAGCACTAGCTAGCTGACAGCATAGTAGACAAGATAGCTGCCGTTTGAGGAGGGATACTGCTGAGACTGAAAATGATTTGCTGTACCGATATATCATTGACAGATGACTGACATGTTGCCGACAGCTGACCATTAGGTGGTGATTGATATGTCAACTGAGTGATCACAGTTAGTATCGATCGACACTCAATGAAGTGTCTGCAAAAAGTAGGATTCTATTCACTGACTATCGACCGACTGTTGACTGATATGTCGACTGAGTGTCAATCAACAGGTTGATCGAGTGTCAACCATACTCGATCGATATTTTGGTTGAGTGTCAATTGCTGGTATTAATGTACACTTGACTGCGGGTGCCTTTAGTACACATGATCTGAAAATTGTAGTAAATAGCTAGATTTTAATAGCAGATTGATAGAAATACAGTAATTTTTGCTTTCCTGAGCTGGCAAGACGAAGTTGTATGGCAATTCCCCTTGAATAACACATCACATATTCTTAGGTAAATCCTATGAAATGTTATTTTCCTTTTTTTACCTTTTTTTTACCTTTTTATATCCTGATAGAACACATGACACCTACCTGAGTAACATCCTTATTTGATCTCATGTCTCCCAACACAGCTTTATCAAGACAATCCCGAAATACACTGCAGTAACTCTGCTGAAATCCTGACGGAGCTGGGACGTAAAAATATGGTACGAACCCGTGGATATGACAAAGGACACTGTTCCCCTCCATTGTCACCCCATACATCTGAACTATCGGCACTGGACCAACCTTGGACCCTGGCATTCCCTGCAGGGGTTTACCTGCGATGAAGAATCATAACAGAAATCTTGATATTTATAATATGATTAGTTTCTTTATAGCATTCATTTTTCATTCCTGACACAAATTGAAATCAGGCTGAAGGATTGCACCCTCGACCACTTGCAAAGACGGTAACACCCGAAAACAGTATGATTTACAATACCATGTAAAACAAGTTCACCAATCAAACCCAATCTAAAGATAAAATATAAGCTTGCACAAACCTTCCTTTTCTGTCAAAAAAAAGTTTCAACCTTCACAATAGAATAACTGTATTTATTAAGAAACTTAGAGGCACAAACCGATGTAGTTGTCCACCTCCAACTGCTGAAATACGAGGCTTTCGGAGGAAGGATTTAACTTCGGTGCAGCCGGTCTGGACCACTTGTGTGCTGGATCTTTGTCCACGACTTCACCGAGCAAAGCCAACTCTTCTTCGAAGGTTCGCGGGTTTCCCTCATCATGGCGGGATCGTTTTGCAGAGCTGCCAACCTCCTCGCTTCCTTTGCGTTTTTGAGCGTTATCCATGTCGCTTGAACCTGGCTAAAAGAGAAATCTTGAACGAGTACAACGGTTTTTTAGATCGTATAAAGTATACCTCAACCAGTGCAACCAATGTACAAATTGAAAATGGCGGGAACAACTGAGCGATTGCCGCTGAACACTTCTAAATTACGGTCAACCTAACCCTACTCCCCACGAGACTGAGAATACTCTTCTTCGAAAATTCGTAAAACAAAATTCAGCTGATTCGTATTTTTCTTTACTTGTGTAATGTTACACAAATAAGTGATCCAGACTGAAAAGAATTGTGACAATCCGAAGTGAAATCTCCAACCCTCCCCACCCTGGCAAGGAAGTGCAAATTTGTTTGTCTACTCCCCAGAGAAGTGGAAGGTTAATTAGTACTTTTCCTGAAAGAGTGACAGACTACACAATGCATGAAGTATGTGGAGTATGTTGCCTGCATATGATTTATTTGCAGTTTTTTGATCAACAAATTCTGTGAACAATGAAATATCTTTGTTTCAGGAAACAATAAATGAGTTGTGAACAAGAGCGAAGATGAAGTTCGAACACTCTTGGTGACTGCTGCAATTTCAGGGTTTTCTTGCGCGCAGAGAGTGCCGAAGGCTGTGACAAAAACCGGTAAGTACACGCTGCATACTATCTAGAATTGTCCACCCCACAAAAAACAAGTATAGACAACAATGGATACTTATCATCTGCAAATAAATGGCGGAGTACTTTCTGGTTTCGCACATTCTTTTTCGCGAAACGCGGTTGATTGTGATTAATTGTGAGTGTAACCTAGGTTAAAAGAGGTCTTGAAACACTCCAAGAAACCACCTAATAATGATGGTTTGATTGCTACACCAACTTATCAATGGAAACCGAGAGGGGTAACTGCTTGGTATTGGTCTGGTCAGGTACACAAATAGTGGTCCCGTAATAGTTTTTCCTAATTGCGACTACAGATGTTAAGGGCCTGTTTACATGGAGGGGGGGGACCCCAGGTAGGTGAGGTAACCTGCCTAAGTGGGGTAACCCGCCTGTCCATATAAATTCTTATTTTATTTCAATCACGTTTATATGATAGTTGGGGTGACCTGCCTAGGTGGGTTGCCCAGTCTGCCAGGTAGGGTAACCCTGTCAGCCAGGGTGACAATTTGCCATGTAAACGTGTCAAGGTGGGGTAACCTGCCTAGCAGGGGTCGCATTCATGACAAAAAGCTCAAAAGCGAAACATGTATGTTTTAAAACTTTGTACATTTCCTGTCTGTCTCATGGCAGAAATCATCAGAAACTGCAACAGACACACAAGGAGTGTAAAATGTTCACATTTTGGAATATTTAGCATTGTAAATCAACCACATTTGGTTTCCCAAACTGATCCGTATAATGTATTAAGTCAACAGTTACTTGCAAAACCAAACACCGTGTAACACAACACATGACACTTTCAGGAATAAATACATATGTGCCTGAGAATTAATCCTTCGTCTTTTTCAAGATGTGAGCTTGGGATGCCTCTGCTCAAACTCCTTAATTGCAAGCGTAATGACAACCTCAAGAAACCTCACCCCAGCACCCCGGGGTTGCAAGATTGCATGTAAACACGTTTTATTTTTCAACCACGGTTAGGCGGGTTACCTCACCAACCTGGGCCTGGGGTCCCCTACCTCCATGTAAATAGGCCCTAAGTATGGTTAAGGATGGCAAATGATTCCTGCTTGGAGCACTTTATGAGTAAGCAAACCAGGTTGATATCTGGGGAGAGAAGGGGATAACATACTAGCCTTTTATATGTGGTAATAACATTCTGGAATGTTTTACTCATAAAAATTATTATTTTCATAGCAAAGGGTGATCAGATGCACATCAACCCCCCCCCCCCCCCCCCCCCCCCCCAACCTTCCAATTATCATCATGTTACTTTTTTACTTCTCGGAAAAATATAAGTTACAATATATAACAGACCTAATATAAATAATCACATCAATCAATTGAAAGGAAAGTCACAAAAATTTATTCACATTATTCCAGTACTGTTATTCAACTACTATATTCTACCTCAGCATAATAGCCTGAACAAAGACAAACATTTTGTTCAAAAATACTGTCACAACACTTTCTTTTCAAAGGATGATTTACTTTTCTATATACAATGGCCATTTCAAATACATAGTCTTTATTTTGATTTATTTACAGTTTATAATAAGTATAACCCTGGCTTTATAGAAGAATCCTTTTAATTAGCACAAGCACAAGTCACGTTACCTCACAAAATTATGGGTTAGAAATATAAATTTAGAGAACACTTCTTTCCCAAAGATTTTACATTTCTGTGTGAACAGGGAAAACCAGAAGTCATTCTTTAAACTGAATAAATATTTCTGTCTTATTGTAAAAGGATAATCAGCCCCTCTCAAAGGAATTCTTAATCTCATTGTTCATAAATTATATTTTCTGCTGTTGGTGCTTTTGTCGTCTACTATAAACAGGATATTGCTTAAACCCAAATTTTTGTTCATTCAGCTGGTAAGAATCACATACTCATCGTTGCTCTCAACATCCATGCTATCGTCATCATAACTAACAACAGAAGAGGTGGTCCCCTTGTCATTATCCTTGTCTTTCTGTTCTTTGCTTGTCTCACTATGGTTAATAGGATATTCAGTTATATCCATGTTTTCATTAAAACTCTCTTGGAATTCTTTAACCAAGATGCTTGGTTCATTGTGATAAGCAGTACTTGGTCCTTCAATAGCATCAGAGATAACATCTTTTTCAATCTGGCTGTATAAAATAAGTGATGATTCTCCACCTGTTGAAGATATAATTATAATTATGTGTGGAAGTGAAAGGTAAATTTAATGATTTTTATTTGTTAAGTATTATTATAATAGTACATGGCATCCTGCTGAAGTTGTTCAACAAAAGGTTTTTCAGAAACAAAATAACCATGGTGTAAGAAGTATATCTTACCATCTGTTGATTCTTCCGTCAAATTCAAAAAAGATGTAGATTTCCTAAGAGAATGATAACAACTATAGCTCAGCAACATCTCTCATCACAGGTAAAATTGATTGAAAGTGAAGTACTATCTGAAATTTATCAAGGTTTAAAATAATAAATATTTAGATTTGTTCTATCTTAACCAATCAACTCCCAAGATCTGATTGTTAATTCTACCCTCAAGGTGCTACACATTTCCTTGTAAATTGGTGATGAGAATTTGGAGTGAGATCAAGATAAAAGCCTCTACCCTTGAGTATTCTCATTACCTTTTCTTTGTATAATGGATGGATATCACAGGAAGAAGTGACATGTTAATCACTTCTGGGAGTTAGAAAGTTGAAGGAAATGGAGCCTAACAGCTAATGTGGCTGTCTCTGGCAATCAATTTAAAATTCAAATAAGAAGTTTGCGAAGAAACATGAAGCAATGGTGTAATTTCCAAATTGTGGAGAAAGGAGGTGGTCAGCCTAAATTCCCTCGAAAAATCTCCATGGGAGGTCATAACTTATACACAAAATTTGAGAGTCATACCAGGGTATTGTAACCTGATGTTTGTCCTGGTAAGTATGCAGCATTGTGGAAACAACTGATAGCATGTTATCAAAGTACTTGCACCCTGTCTTTTCAATCTTGATCAAAGCTTCTAAAATTCTGAAACATCAAGCAGCAAATCAAAAACCAAAGAGAAAAAAAAAAACTTTTTCATATAATAATTAAATATAAACTAATTGAGTAAACAAAAAAGTACTCTCCTCCTATGCTAAACAATGAAATTTAATTTACATAAAGGACTGAAATTAATACTCACATTTTGAGCATTACCAAGATTTGCTTGAAACTTAAAACACATGGTCTGGCAAAGAGATCCAAGACATGACATGACTTGCGCAAAATGTAACATGACCAAAGCTCAGCTTCTGTTGTGATATTGTTGGCATCCAAAAGCACTGAGAGTTAAGAACAAATTGGGACACATGAGTATGTACACAGTAGTAGATACTCATAACTTGAAAAAACCATGCACCTTATAACCAAAAACTAGGGTAACCCTTTGACCACCTACAGTGACTAGCATCTAATTTCTCCTTACACCATCTCTCCAGAATCACACAATAAAATTATGTGAATAAAGGAAATGATCAGATCATTGATTGAAACAGTATGCAGGGAATCTTTTAACCCCTAACTCCTAATAGTGACTGACAGCATATTTCTCCTTACTTTATCATTGTTGAATCAAAGGTTTAGATCATGAGAATAAAAGAAATGGTAAAGAAAAGAAGCTTTTGATTGTTACACAAATTCTCTTTGTCAGCACCTTAGGAAATGTTTACAGAACAGTATGGAGAATATGAAAACTGATGGTGAGGTGTAAATGGTTAATATAAGAGGATATATTATAGACTTGCTTACTCATGGATAGTTTTGATTCTCCTTCCTCCAATTCAGTCTCAGCCCAATGGCTTCCAGTCTCCTTGTAATCACAGGATAAGTTGTCATCATTAAATGATACATCAGAACTGTGGCTTGTGACATATGACTCCTGACAATGAAGTGGAGAACTACTGTGTAATGGCAGAATATTGAACATCACAGAGGCTGTTGTTAGTGACTCGAGCACTAGTGTATCAGGATCTGGTAAATAAATTCATAGCAAATTACAGCCATTTCAATCTTTGATTAAAAAATGTGTTTCTGTGTTACATATAAAGAGAGTGAACATAACTCAGAGCTGAGGGAGCGAAAAAACCCACAAGGATAGTTTCCCTGGTTTTTGAAACAATTCTTCTGTCCATAACATTATTCCACCAGACAGGAAGAAAAAGTCTCTTCTTCCTCACCATTTTAACAGTTCATGTTGTGGAAACCATTGAAAAAATAACCTCTTGGAAGAGAGTTCAGATTCAGGAATGTGCATTACCATTTTTATTGGATTAAGTGCCCTGGGGACTTATTAAGTGTTTGGACCTTGAGATTACGCACTTCTTCAAGGTGAGGGGTATAACAACAATAACAATAAATAATGATAAAACCTTAAGATGTACCATATACAGTGAATTTAGAGATTGTAAGCCAGTAAATAATAATCAATATTCTTCTTTTGTGTGGAGGGGAGGGGGGAGGGGAATAGGAGGGCTTGGGTCTATATTTTAGGCCTAGCCTGCAAGTACTTTTCCTGACTAAAGGTTGGGGTCTTATTTGAGGTTGGGCATGTAATTGAATCAATATGATAACCAACTGGAGTGTGTTAAAACATATCAACTGATTGACACTTACAGTGCTCCTTTAGAAACCTCAGTGTATCTCTGTAACCCTGCCTGCAGATATCAATCAAGACCTCTTGACTTGGTGGCCACAGTGCACGGGACAATCTCCAAATGTTACTCCCAGTAAATTGCATGCTAGTATTTCGTAGTTCAATGTGAAATTCATTTGATGAAACATCTTTAGGACAAATGTCATGTTCTCCACTAAATGGGGACACTGTGATAGTTTCTCCTTCTTTGAAGTGTTGTGGAAGATTATCAGAAATTCCTCCATCCACATAATACTGCAAAAGAATTAGAGTAAATTCATTTTCCTAGTGATACCAACTCTTAAGTTTCATTTCTACTGTTTGAAATTAAGTGAAAAGTTATACCATACATTTGGGAGAAATAAAATTTATATTATCTGGCAATTAGTCTATTGTAATACTTCAGGCAATTTTCATACTCTAGATAATTTAGTCCTTGATGGTCTATTGCAGATAAGTTTTGTTATATGCATTGCAGATAAGGATTTGTTACATAATTTAGAGAGGTTGTGTATTGTGTGAGTAACCAGACATACAGAGACAACTACTTTCTAACCAGTAATTACAGAGGCCAACATGTAATATAACCTGACTGTTGATGCAAGTTAAAGTAACATACCTTTCCTCTGTATACAGCTGGAAACATTCCAGAAAATACTGGTACATAGGAACTGGCTACAAGTGCCTGTGGTATTTATGAAATCAAATATAAAACTCAATATTGCTGGGTAATTTGATGTGATTTTATGATATCAAAAATGATTTGTTTTTTCTGACAAAATGACTTAAAATAAACTCAGTCTAAGAGTTATTAATTTGTATTCAGAACCTTTATATCCTAGCATCACAGTTCACATTCTTCATACTTTTCTCTAAACATTTCCTATGTTCCTCCATAATCCTTGTGACCTTAATATGTGACTCAGATGTGATATTGTAAGGAGAAATTAGATGCAACAATGTAATCACTCTTGGGTTAAAAAAGAAAGGAGACATCAAATTCATTCTGCATTGACATTATTTTAATGAGAAAAAAAATTGATCACAACCAAAATGGCAAGTAAACTCAATAGTGATTCATTTCTCAGTTTTGAAATTCCACTGGGGTTTACTGTCACAGTGACAATGGTTTGGGTTTCTACCCTGAGGTAAATGAAACCTCTTACCACTCCCCTGCTTTGCCCCCGCCCATCGCCCCCGCCTTGATCTCTTCCCAGACAACAATAAACATTTGGACATTTCAACATTTTAAAACAAGTATTGTTGCTTTTGTTGCCGCTGAATTGGGAGCGTGCATAACTGTATTCATGAATGATATGAATGATCATTTTTAAAAAAAATACCAAAGTAGGGATTGGGGACTGTCATCAGCTCAGAACTTCTCTTGACCTCTCAACATCTTACAGACATAAAAAACGCGACTGACAATTGTTTGATCGCACGATCGATCTTTACTCAGCTGATGAAATAAATCTAACTAACAACTACAATAACATACACACGGAAAACGTATCATAAGCTATCAAATACATTTTAACTAATATAAATTAAAGCGAGCACTGCGATCTTTCCAAATGGATTTAACCTACGATTAGACTTCGCTCATAAACCTCAATTTAACCTTTAATCTTAACTTACCTCAATGAGATCCTCTTTAGAATAAAATTCAGAAATGATGACATTTTTAAAGCCTGTGAGAGTGACTTGACTCAGTGAAATGTGCAATCGTCCAGTCGCTATCTCGTGTGCATTGTCAGGCAACATTCTGTCAAACGCTTTCCGGACAGTTTTGACGACCTGAAAACTCGGATGAAATGGTCCAAGTGAAAGAGAATTTGCTCTTTTACCGAGTCTTAGAACCGATTCTACAATGTCAGAGATGTCCAAGTTCATAACTAAACCGACAGCAGCAAAAGCACCTGCACTTGCTCCTCCAAAACATTTCACCCGACCCAAAAAACTGCTCGCGTTTTGTTCTAGACAAGACATCACTCCAATGTGGTAGATTCCCAAAAATCCGCAGCCCGAAAAAGTCAAGTTTAAATCTTGGACGTCAGACATGTTTAGAAAATTTCAATCTTCGGCAGTTTGTCCGTTGAAGGTGTGTACATGTAACAAATTTTCAAGTGTAATAAATAATTCTTCGGCCGACCGGGCAAATCGCCCGCTTATTATGACATCATAAATGAGGATCACTGTATTTGTTCACATGACCGGAAGTCACCTTTGTTGACCTTGTGATTTCGCGCGAGTTTTTGTAAACCGGTACGTGTTTGTGTGTCAGATTTTGCTTCCGGTACTACCAAATACTCGTCTCGGTTCCTTGTGAGTACCATTTAACTTGTAGTGTGTGAATGATGACATTGTTTAAATAAAGGAGTAAAAGTCAGTGAGGGAGCGAAGGTCAATCAAGGACAAAAGGTCACTGAAAGAGTCTTCAACGAAAGATAGGTCAGTGAAGGTCAGTAGAAAAACGGTGAGATAGATGTCTGAGAGTGAACAACTTAGAAAGGTAGATGTAAGATATTTAAAAACCAAGAATCGCACAAATTGAAGACTTAATTCTAATCTGATCAAATAACAACAGATAGGGAGCAATGCATCCTCAGGAGACAACCATAGTGAATGTATATCAGGAAATCAACTTGTTTGAACTGTTTCAAGGGCCCTGTACCATACTGGAGAAGATGGGCTGGTTGTAGAATTCCAGCTCTCATCCTTGATGATGCAAAATTGTTAAGTACTGTTGTTGTTCTTAAATTTTTTTATGCAGAGAAGGGGGTATTCTCCTGCAATGAATTGTGTTCCCATGGCTCACCACAAGAGTATCATAAAATGCCACCAACTCATGACCATCTTGTGTGGCCAAACTAAATCAACAAACAATGCATATGGGTTTCATGGAGTAACACCATGTAAAAGACTATTTTCCTGGTAAAGATTATCTCAAAATAAAGTGGTCACTCTCTTGTTTTAGGTAAAAGACCCTTGCATGCCATTTTGATCAATAGTGTGCTTGCACTCTGATGTGTTTAAGATTTACAAAGTAAATCACTCTCATTCACACCACAATTTTCATTTTATTATTAAATTATGTATATTATTAGAACTCATACTGTACATCAGATGAAAATAATGGCAATTTTCTTTTGCATTCATGTATAAAATATCCCAGTGGTAAACTTTTAAAAAACTACAGCAATAATATTAATTACAAGGCCATAATTATTTGCTGCTCATTCTAATTAAAATTTGAGTGGTTTTATTTATTATATATTTCTTCATACCACAATTTTGTGTAGAGACTAAAATCAAATATCTTTATACAATAAAATTATTTCTGTACAATTACCATTGCACCAAACCAAATACCTGTCTAGTCAACACCATGGAAAAAGCAAATTGAATAAGACTTTACCTTTTGTATTCCTAATAAAATAGAAATTTGGCCCATCATAATTTTCAGTTGTTGTACATACTTCAACATAATAGCTTCCTTTTGTATTGTGCTACTTAGTTAATGCAGTTTCCCTCTTGATAGATGACAAGACACAGTCATCAAACTCTTAAGCACAAGCTAGTAAAGACCTGCCCAGCAAAGAATTACTAAACCATTTAAAAATTTTCTGGCAATTTTAAATAGGTTTGTCTTTCCACAGATATCTGAGTTTCCTTGACGTCCTTTTATATATATATTATATTTTCCCAGAAATATCTTTTGATCTCATGTCTGTGAGTTAAGTAGCCCATGCACATAATGAACAAACTTAGCCTGATAATGTCTGTTTTCTTCTGAGAGAAGAACCCTAAATGTCTTAATCTTTGATTACAAAATAATGCCAGAGATTCCTATGATTCTTGTCTGTAAGAAAACTAAAAATGCTCATCAACAACTGTAAATAATTAGGCCACAGCAGTTTGTACAAGGCCTTGTTATTGGCACTCCTGAAGTTCTTCATTCCCACTGAATTCAGATTCGACATCAGTCTCATAACCATCTAAGACAACATAATCATCTGAAACTGCAAGGGCTTTGTCTACATTACTTGCTCCTTGACACTGGCATCTTGTCAGATTCTGACTGCTGTGTCTATCGCTGGCAGTAATAAATGGGCGGTTACTAACATTATCATCCCATCTCATTGCACTTTGGATTAAGCTTTCTGTATTTTCTGCCACTAAGACTTCTATGTCACTGTCATCATCAGAATGCTTGACTTGCTGTTGGTCATTTTCGCTAGACCTTCCTTCATTTACACAGGCAATGTCTTCCTGCCATTGTCCTGAAGTTATGGCTCGTCCAGACTTTTTCCTAGAGAAAATAGAAGAGCATTGGTTATTCTAGTGTGTGCACAGTTAGTCACTAGTCTCCTTAACTATTAGTTGTGATCAGCTATTGAGAGAACTTTGTGAGGTGTAACCCAAGCAAAAGAAAACAGTGTGAGTAGTTGAAACAAACACATTTGCTGAATGGTGACAAATTATTTGCAATCCAAACAATACATACCAGCACTGGACTTGATGCTTGTCCTGGTAGGTGTGAATCACCATATAAACCATGGATAACAGCTCATCGAGGAACTCATTTCCTGTTTTCTCCACTTTTGGTAGTGACTCTAGGATTCTAAAGGAAAGGAAAACAACAGAATATCAGATTCATTCAAAGTCTCTCAGACAAATTCTAACAATGCAGACCAAGGTAAACTTACATGTTTGCAAGATGTGAGATCTGTTTCAGAGAAATCACACATGGTTTTGCTGCAAGTTTCAACACCCAAAACACCCGGCGAATGAAGAAGCATGACCAAAGTTCAGCCTCATTCACAGCCTCACTTGTACGGTGAAGTACTGGAATAGAAATGGATAATCAAGAATTAAGAATGACTCTTCACATTGTCTCTTATGAACATTTCAAATGTAACTTACCATTTATTTATTAAGGGAGCATAAACAAATGAATTTCACATTCTTCAGTTTCTGTTGTTTGAATGTAAAGTATTCTAAATTCAATTCAACTTCATTTTGTCCAAATCAATTCCTCTTCTGAACCCTATGAGTGACTAGCTTCTAATTTCTCCTAATATCAACCCTGAATCACACATTAAGGTCATAAGAATAAAGAAAATAACTGTCAACTAGTGAAGCTCTGAATTCTTAGACAAATTTTCTTTTAGTCCGTACCATAAGAAATGTATAAAGAACATTATGGAGAATATGGGTACTGATTTTAGGAACCAAGGGGTTAAATGAACTTACTGATGGTGAGCTTGGACTCTCCTTGTTCCTCTAATTCTGTTGAATATTCATTATCAGTTTCATCACTTTCGGAACTTGTAAAGGCATCTCCTTCTCCACTACTGTATGGGTTGTATGCAGACAGTGAGCTGACACTGATCTGTTGTTTGTCAAGTCCATGGCTGGACTTGGACCAAGATGAGTGAAGATACTGAGACATGGAAGGCCTTTGGACTGGGACTTTCCTTAGAGTCTCTGGATCTGGAAAGAAAAACAGCAAAACTCTATGTTAACTGAATAACATGAACAACACATAATGCCTTGAATGACTGTCCCATATCTGTCACTGTGTTAAATTCACTCGTTGACCAGTTGAAATGCTCTTGTAAACTTGCCTTAAGTAGTCATACCTATGTAACAACTCAAATTTAAGGCTTCCATAGCTTCACCAGAATGATAATGATGAGGATGGCAGTAAAATTAGAATAATTATAAAATCTTTATGTTTGTTAACTTTCACATATCAACTTATGACAGACATACAAAGAATATTTTGAATGGAAACAGTGCATCTAGACATGTCTACTTACAATGCTGCTTCACAAATCTCAGCGTGTCTCTGTATCCTTGCTTGCACATATCAAAAAGTACATCTGGTTGTGGAGGAAAGAATGCACGGGAACACCTGTACAGGTTCTGTAGTGTAAACTGCATGCTGGTATTTCGAAGTTCAATGTGGAAGTCATTTGAAGAACTGTCCTTGGGACAGATGTCACTCTCACCACTGAAAGGCGAAACAGTTATGGTTTCACCTTCTTTGAAGTGCTGCGGGAGATTGTCAGAAATCCCTCCATCTACATAGTACTGAAAACACAATTCAGTTGATTAGAAACAATTTTGGTCTCTAATAAATTTACATGCCAACCCCATGAAATTTAATAATTTTTCTGAACAATGACATCATCTTCTGTGTAACAGAGGATCTATAAATAACCTTTCAAGTGTTTGAAAGCAGTTGTGAGATTAAAGCTGTAAGTAGACAATAGTCTCCAAATAATTCAATTAAAGGAGGTCTGTGAAGGGAGATCTATAGGATTTGCCCTTCACAGGATTCTTTTTGTGCCTTTATCACAGATTAGCTAGAGTCAATTTTCAAGTTTCAGATCTTCCTTTTTTTCATTCCTTTAACACTTTTGCAAGAATGTAACAGTAGAATCCCCATCCCACATTACAGCCAGTAAAACACCGACTGTGGTCCAAAGAAATTTTTTAACTATATTTTATTTTCTGTGACTGACTGTCTACTGGAAGGAAAATCTTATTTACCTATCAGCAATTATGTCTGAACCCCACATATTGAAATAATATCATTAATCCTGTAACTTAATCCTACTCAACAAGAAGAAAAACAGGAAACTAAACCACATGACATGATGTTAATATTTACCTTTCCCCTAAATTTTGCAGGAAGGAATCCAGAGTAGAAAGGAACATATGAGCTAGCAATCAAAGCCTGAAACAAAGCATAAAGTACATAACATCATTCAGTGTTTTAAATAATATGTACTCGCACAAAAATGAAGTACTTATGGTGGGAGGTCATGAGTAAGGTGATGGGGCAACAGATCTGCCTTCAGTTGTTGTTAGTACAAAGAGGCATTCATTCACAATTTTGGAATTATGAGCCTGTACAAGATGTTTTACTTTAAAACATCAGCAGTTGTTTTCAATAAAGGCTAGGTATTTCAGAAGTGTCTTTGGAAAAGCATCAAAACGGTTTTTTAAACAACAATCTTCATTCTGACTTAAGCCTCCTGTTCTAAGAGGTGTAACAAAAATTAACAAAGAATGCTACTGGAGAAATGACATCTATCCTTTTAGGAAAATTCAACAAAACATAACAACGACACTCACATTGTTGAAAACAGATGGTATGAGGTGTAGAAAGAGTACTGCCTGATTGGAAAAATCTAATTGAAATGGTCTTTGAGAAGATTTAAGCTACACACTAAATAGTGATGTGTATCAGAGGCAAAATAATTGCACTGTAATTTTAACCATTTTCTATGCTACAACAGTTTAGAATTGAGAACAACTTTCAGATGTCTGTGATTTAAGGGCAATCATGATTGGTTATAACCCAAAATTGTCTAGTTAATTTGTTGGTTATGTAACTAGTGGCAATGGAATGCAACTTGAGATGAGATTGTGGGATGTTTCCATTACAAAGGGTACCCAATACTTAGGTATGTAGACGTTTTAAAATTCTTACAATCAACCATCTATTTCTCTTTTGGTGGTAGCCCATGAGACTGCCTTTGTTATTTTGCTGCCTACAATAATGTGAGACTGCATGAGACTGTCTTCATTATTGTGCTGTCTACAATATTGTACTTGTCAAAAACACTGCTGAGTTTTTCATATTAAAATGAGATGATACAAATTATGTAGATGAACCTAAACATTTATTCAAAGATGCATCAAATATATTTTGGCTTTTGCCGAACTTAACCACTGTACAATTCAACGGATGCAAGCAGAACTTTCCACTAACAATGGGCTGATAAATTGTTATTTCTCAAGTATCAAGTTAACTGTTAAGAGGTTACAGCATGCCATCCAAATACCATGCAAATGATTGATTAATATTGCAAATACTGGTTAGTCAGGAATATTTAAATGTTTGCATACATAAGCAACCGAGTGTCTATCTTTTTTCAACCGTAAAATTGGGTTTAATTCTGAACAAAAAGGGTAGGAAACAGATTAACATGGTGGGGCATATGCTCTAAAATATTTCTAATATCCTCTTTGAACAGCAGGAAAACACTCTTACAGCCAAAACAAATCCTCAAAACATGCGACGCTGTGAGCTGATTATTATTTTACATACAATCGTCACAAAGCTAAGACAAACACTCCACTCACGCTGCGCAATTTCCCACGCGAATAAATTATTTTGGTGAGCAACAGAAAACAGCTAAGCCTTAAAAATGAAATAAGTTCCTAAACTCAAAAAAATTGTAATTAAAACTTCCTCTTCATGAAAATAGGATCATAGTGTCGCTCTCCCAGTGTTTTATCACACGAGTTTCATATTACGCAACTGGAAAATACCACGCTCCTTACGAAAAGCACGCGAGAAGGTTTTTAGAATTTTGTTGCTGGAAAAAACAGGTCAATAAATGGTCCTTGATGATAAATTTTTTCTTTAAACGGGAACCACTGGCCAGGAATGACCCTGGCTACATTCTATGCAAATTCCATCCCGCGCTTGGGCGACTATTACACCGTCTGAAGCGACAATGCCAGAAATGCAAATCAAGTTGACCATGAATTTACGACATAGATGATTATTACGAAACATAACTCACCTCAACAAGATCTTCTTTAGAGAAGAACTCAGACACAATAACGTTTTTGAGATCAGAAATTCTTGTTAACGACAGATGAAGCCTTCCACTGGCGAGTTCATGTGCGTTGGGAGGCAGAATCCTTTCGAATGATCGACGAAGAGTTCTGACGACATTGAAGCTTGGATGAAGGGGTCCTAGCGTTAAAGAATTCGCTCTTTTAGCCAGTCTGATTACAAACTCAGCACTGTCACTAACATCTAAGTCTAAAAGCAACGCAATTGCGGCAAAGGAACCAGCACTCGCGCCGCCATAACATTTTACTCGTTTCAAGAGCGCCGGAGCGTTTTCTTTCAAGCAAGACACAACTCCGAGATGATAGATTCCCAAAAAACCACATCCAGAAAACGTTAAATTCAGATCTTGGACTTCAGCCATGACTAAAAATTGTCCTCTTGACTTTTAACAACGGGAATTTAAGGCGAAATCTCACTAGAAAACGAAGAACAATTCGACAGACATCATGGTGAGCTCGATTGCGTCGATAAATATAGTTTCGTTTTGCGTGTTGTACGCCTAGTTGCCGCCCCTCTCAATCCCACGTACGTCCCCTTTTCTGATTGGCTGTCAGCTCAAGATTTCTTTAGGGAACCAATCAGATACGAGCATGACTAAGCCCTTCTGGCAGTTGATGAAAACGATGAAACAAGATCGTCAAACCGGTTTTGTGTCAAGTAAACAAAACGTGACAAGAAATACCTGTTGGTTTCTCTTCCTTCTCCTTCACGTGAGATTCGTGATGTATGCCTCCAAGGGAAAGGAGGGATACTGGAATATTTTTTTCAGTGTCAATTTTTATTTACAAGAATACATTGCAGTTTTTGATGGCTTTTTTTTCTTTGAAAATCTGATGCTCTGTTTAACGATGCATTTTGTCTGAAACGTTGGCGCTCTTCATATAGTCATTTCCGGTCCTCGCGTGCGTCAAGATGCAGTGTCTTGTGACCGCAAGAAGAGGAAACAGTTTTCTTGTTATCGTGCTGTTGGTTTTTTCTTTCTTTCCTGAACATAAAGGTTACTTTGGGGATAAAACATTAATTTCATCAAGATTTTGTCAAAGGCCATTGCATGTCAAACCCCGTCAGACATTCGGCAACATTTCATAATGCAGCCATCGGGGGGTCAGTCCGTCTTTCTGTTTGTTGCGAACAAACTTTACCCGTTGCCAGACATCTGGGGGCATTTGCAGAAGTCTTTTAAGGGTAGATATGGCAAGAGAAATCCCATAGATGAGAGAGGAGAAAAGTTATTTTGTTTTGCGCGTTTTTTTTCTTTTGTTCGTAAAATAGCGCTAAGTTCAGAAAAAAATGTCACGTTTTGATTTACTTTATTTCATGTAACAAAAACCTCGTTCTCTCAACGGGCTTGAATATACTATACATATGTACCAAAAGAAAAGGGGCGGGACAAAAAATGGAAAATTTTTCCCCTTAGGTTTATTAGGTGTTAAAACAGGCACCAGAGAAGAACTTCCAAGTTTTAAAGGATGCTACGTGATCTAGCATAATGCACAAAACTCCTAAGGCCCGTGAAGGCACCTAAAGGCGCTGTTATGGTGCATGTCTACACATACAACCCAGCTATACAACCACAATAACATTTCGAATACTCTTTTGTTATAATCATAATGCCAAAGTGTTTATTAAAAAAGCAGTCTGTATGATTTTTTTTGTCTCAACAAACTTTCATTCAAGTGGGGCTTACAAGCTGTTAATCTTTTTCAAACATAGCCAACAACAATAATTTAGTCAGAACGTCACGTGAGTCACAATAAAGACCTTGTGTGGCATGTGAAGGAATTCTCTCTCTCCGGCGTGCACTAGCGTAGAGCCAGTTTTACAGAACACTGGGTGTGTGCGTTTTGTTCTGGTCTTAGCCTATCGCGAGAGCGTAAAAAAAAAAATAAAAAAACGCGGAGAGAAAACTGGGGATTGATAAAAGCGCTATCTTCGTGGGTTAATTATACACTATAACTGTTTTGATTAAAAATCATCTGTCTTTCTCATAGATTAGTAGTCACGTCCACTGGGTATTCACTTCACCCGTCAAACTCTGTCAATAACAAGTTCTTTGCACGCTTCTCTTTTCAATGCTCATTTGACTTGCGCAAGCTAGGATCACCAAAGTGAATTATCTTTAGTTTACCCAGTAAACATGGAAAGTTTGTTTTATGCCGCGACAAGCCTAATCATGCAGTTAATCCAGGAAATGAGTGAATGGATTTCCAATGTAAAGAATATTTCTCAGCGTTAGCTAATCATAATTCCTAACTTTTGAGACGCGTCGGAAGTGTTTTTCATACTGAAACCTCTTTTCGACTTAATCCTTTGTAGTAGGGGGTAGCTATTGCCAACCATTGTTATGATGTGGTGTACAAGATTTGTAATTCTGAGGCCGCTATTTAGTAATCAGACTTCTGTTTTGTTATCTAAAAAGAGTAATTTAGTATTATCAACTGAGTTGATAACGTAAATTGGCCATCGTAAAGAGTTTCATAGCTGACGTTTCGAGCGCTAGTCTTTCGTCAGATAACGACCACCAACGCTCGAAACGTCAGCTTTGAAACTCCTTAAGGTGGACAATTTACGTTATCAACTCAGTTGATGATACCAAATTACCCCGTTGCACTCTCCCACCGACGCAGCACCACAGTTTCTCTAAAAACTTACCCCCTTTATTGTTATTTAAACAGATGGCCTATAAAAGCTTAATTTTACTTATTGAACTAAACTAAGTTGGCTCAAAAGGTTTTTTGACGTATTAAATCCCGCAAAGTCGATGCAACACCGTGGTGCACGTGCGATATCTGTGAAACCTTTGTTAGCACCATCAGTATATGGATTCTCTTTTCCCAAATTGCCTACGCGAGGTTCTACGAACATCACATTTGTGATTTTATTTGATTAAAGTTTGTCTACATCTCAGGGATGTATCATTTTAGGGCCATTTTCACGAACAATTTCTAGCTTCCAATCCCCTTCCCACCCCTCCCTTCACTTGGGAAGATTTCCCCCCCCCCCCAGTTTTGAGCAGAGCAGAGAGAGGCGTAGCCAGGATATATGCACACAATTTCGTGCAGCGCTGACGTGGTCCTTTCTTAAAAAACTTCAATCTTTCATCTTATACTTAAGGACAACACGAACCGCATGCAAAGCTTCGGGGGCTATCCTAGAAACCTTGATCATCTGGCACATTACACTAATTCATTTGTGTTTACTAACTGTTTGAAACCTGAATCCAAGGGCGGTTTAAGAACCCTTCACATCAGCAAAACGCAATCTCTGTAGCCGATGTGGGAAATTTTCATGGCCTCTAGGTCTCTCTGTTACCACAAGAAAACTCTGATTTGAGCAGCAACGCCCGGAAATGAACCAGGATGCCTGTTTATCCGGCTTTCCTATTGTCTGCACAGAAGTTGCGCAAAGGAAAATTACATGCGCGCACGAGCTTGTGACATTCGAAAGATGACCTCAAATAACTTCATCAAGGAACTGCACGAGATTTTCCGAGAACGTCGAATCATACTTCCTATGAAAGATTTTTTTCTTGCCTTTTGAATGAGATTACTAAGACGTAAGAGGCACGTGAGTCGCGTTGTCTCCGCTGTCACGCGTAATGTACTCCTCGATGTGAACTCCAATGCACTTTCCGTGATTAATGTCTATAATCAGCTAAAAGTGGTTGCCGTAAAGGACGTTCATCGCCTGGGTGGGGTTTAAAGGATTTTTGGGGGATCACATGGTTATCAGGGAGAACGGAGGAGGGGAACAGTCGTCACCAGCGTATTATAAAGGTGGGACTAGAATTGACTGGCACTCAACTGCCAACATTAGGGGGATCATAGTAATATTGCAGTTTGAGAGCTTTTGGGGGTGATAACGTAAATGTTATCGTGAAACAATCAAAATCCTCCTAAAACATATAGTCTCTTTATTTTAAATTTTTCTTTCCCTTTTCCAGGAATTTTGTGCCAGCTGCAGTAGCAGTATACATCTGGAAGTTGCATAATGGCAAACGGAAAACAATTGTCGTTTTTGATGCTTTGTGTGGTACTTGTGAGTGTTGCTGTAGTTATGGGGTACAGTGTCCCTTGGGGTGTAGCCATTTTAACCATGGCCATCTGCTGGTTTTGGTATAAACGCAGCCATGTTGCACGTATTACCAATGTTGAGTTTTACAAACTTCACGTTGTGCCGCAGTATACCAAAGATGCGTCGTCTCTCGTGACGTCAGAGTGGTCAGTACCTGTGACCGCGGAGGGTATTGAGGAACCCAACTATGTGCGTACATCCAGTATGATCGAGTCACGTGATGCCTTCCCCTGTCATTTGGTTGCTTTGGGGACGTTCGATGGAGTGAAGCAAGTTATCGCTCATTGTGTTTTACGAGAGACTTCCGCCTCTAGGCCACCTGACTTGAATAAATTTATAAGAATGCTGAAGATGGGATTGCCGTTTCCCGCAGTTCAACAGTCTATGGAGGTTGCTGGTTTAGATCCATCGCTGCTAAATCCGAAAGTTATCGACGAGTTTGAAATATTGGAGACGCCTACATCAAGTATAGCTCATAACGTTACGCTGTCCTCCCTTATTGTAAAGCCCGAGTTTCGTGGTCAGGGCCTGGGCAAGAGTATGTGTGCATACGCACTACAAGTAGCTTCCAGTCTCGGAGCAAAAGAAATTATCGGAGGCTGCAAAAATGAATTGGTTGCCTTTTACGAGAAGATTGGTGTTAAAAAAAGAGTCGGCATAAAGAGAAGAAACATACCAAGGGTTCGGCTTGGCAATGAAATGTTCCTAGTGATAGACGAAGAAGCAAGAAAACAAGCGTCAGAGATAATGACCATCACAAACGCGAAATGCTAAACACCTGAACGATTTTCGGATTTTTTATTTTTCCGCAAATGAGAATTGAGACACTTGGTATTGTAATATTTAATAGAAAATAAAATAACATAAGCTGTAGTCCTTTCTTCGAACTTACAGACCGGTGGCTCTATTGTCGCTCGAAAAGCAACTTTCCATTCAGTGACCCAACGATTATTTACAGTGTAGATGGAAAAAAAGAGTTTAGCGCGATATCGACCGCTGTGGGTAGCAGGTTCTGTAGGAGGCGATTATTGAAAATTTAAGAAAAAGGATTTTTTAAAAAATCGATTAAAAGCTTAATTAGTTTTACTTGATAATTGGACGGGGAAAATTGTGATTTTTCGAGGCCACGTGAATCTTCTTTTGAGAGTGCAATTACCCTTTCTCAGTCCTAACTTCTTAATGGTCGAGACAGTAGAATTTTCTTGATTTGAACTGACATGAGAAAATAATAACACCCTAGTAACAGACACACACCCGAGAAAATATTCATTATTTGCTTAAATGTTTTCAATGCGGAATCCAATCTTTTCTTCAAATATTGTGGTACTGAATGTACTAAAGGTGATATTTGATATTAGTTGACCAGACCCTTTTTTTATTTCATCTCTGAGAGAAATTTCATTTTATTTCCAATGACTTTCTTGTTGCCACTTCAGTTGTCGGTTTAATGCTTCGTAGAATTAATTTTACTGGTAAAAAAACTGTCCATTCAGGAAGAAGAAAAATAGACAAATCTATCTTATTTGTCAAATTTTGAGACAGGTGTAGAGAGCTTTGATCTCTTACGTAGCTTAGGTCATTTACATGAAAATAACCGCCCTCAATCTTCAATTATATTTTCTGCATCTGTGCGGATGAGTGGATACGATGAGTGATCTTTGGTCGTTGTTCGCCGTTTTTTGCCTTTTTATAGGCGGGCTGAACGGCTCTCAGAGACGTAAATCAAGATCCCTTTGTCATCTTGACAGTGCGGAGTCTTTTTACGACTTCACTGCGAAAGATCTGTATGGGAAAAATGTCTCTATGAGCGAATTTCACGGACATGTTGTGCTGGCTGTGAATGTCGCTACCTTTTGAGGTTACACTTTACAATATTATCAACTGAATGCATTACAAAAAAAACTCTGGAGATCAGAAGATGGAATCCCAAATGCATGTGGACTTCGAATTGTTGGTTTTCCATGTAACCAGTTTGGTTTCCAAGAGCCAGCCGAAAATTCGTACGAGCTCATGAACGGATTGAAATATGTTCGGCCAGGACACGGTTTCGTTCCCAATTTCCCATTGTTCGAGAAACGAGACGTGAATGGCAAGAAAGAAGACAAAATTTATAGTTTTTTTAAGGTGAGTTCGTATGAGCTATATTCCTTTTAGTCTTATAAAGGTTTAATTTCATCAATGATCAAGGAACATTGTTGTAAGGCGATGAAATGTTATACATTCATGGCATCTAAAGAGAACAGCATTATTTTGCATGATTGATCACCCTAGTATGAACAGATGATGAAGTGATAAAATCAGGTCTGAGAAATTGGCGCACGAAAATTTTGTTTAGGGAAGCACTTGTCACACTACACACAACACACACAGAGGAAAAAGCTAAATCACAATATGAGTTACGAACTGATCATTTCAAAACCAAAGTTAACCAACCTATTTTCGTGAATATTTCATTATGAAAGGCGTAATCATTCAAATGGAACAGACGCCTTAAATCTAAATAAAATTCATGCAGAAAGCACGCGTAGTATTATACATCTTCGACTCTAGGAATACGATATTTTCTTCACCAAGATAGCTATAGGAAAGGAAACGTACGCTGCTTGGTTTTTGAGTTCATCACAAACGTGCGATTCGTTCTAGGATTTTCGTTCATGAGGTTTTCGGAATATATTCAGCGACGCTATCGAGTATCTATTCAATCTTTGTTGTTAGTTCGGTATTTAGATATTTCCCTTTCCACTCGACATTTGTTTTCAACGTTAGGACAGTGAGCAAGTCAATGCCCAGATGCAAAGGTTCCTACTATTTTTATCATTTTTTTAAAATTATCATTAGCATTTTTTGCCAAGCGCTCATTTAAAAACGCTCGTTGCCGCCTCTGCAATCACCCTTAAAAGTAATGAAAAAAAGAATTCCACATCTGAGCACGGCGCTGAAAAACATAAATAAAGATGTTGTCAGGAGGCTTCTTTTTATTAAAAGAAATCTTAAATCCCAAAATAAAAAAAAAAAGCAAGACTCGCGAGCAGGGCAAATGCTCATTATTCCCATTCACAGTGATGACTTTGCTTGCATTCCAATTTTTGTTGAGTTCCGAGCAGTCACAGGGAATCCACCAACACAAAGCCACAAATCAGTAATGAACCAAGGTCACATTCAAGGAAAACGAGAAGAAAACAGGAGTTCGAAAAAACGGCGGGGGACAGGCGAAAAAAAATTAAAAAAACAAATAAAGAAACAGATAGTGTAAGGAGACATTCCGTCTGGAGGTCGCTTCCCCGACAACCGCAGCCGTCGTTTGTCGTTCACTTACTGTTCGGCTGGTCTTCACTGACTGAGAGCCTTGAACAAGCCACAGATATGTTTCAATTCATTTCTGCAAGATCATTGAATTATTTGTATCATTCTTTCTCTTCAGTCCCGTTGTCCCGCCCCAGACGGGTTCATAGATGACCTGAGTAACATCCGCTGGTCACCTGTTCGGAACAATGACATCAACTGGAATTTTGAAAAGATATTAATAGATCACGATGGCCAGCCATTTGCCCGGTACACTGCGCCTTATGAACCAAACGCCATGTTCGATGATATCCAAACGTTGATGTTAACTTGCCAAGAACAGAGAAGACGCATATATCATCCGTAAAAGAAAACGGACCAAGACAAAAGAAACTTGTTTAGGTTACTTGTTGAACCTGTCTTTTTTAATATTTATTTTTCACGAAATCTCCATTTTCATATTACATTCATTCACACATGCAAAAGTCACATTCAATGTAATTTTTATGTTGGGGAAAATTGCCGTTCCATACATTGAGCTAGCCCCTCACAATTTATGATCACATGTTACGAAGGCCACCATGTTAATGGAAAAACTCACGCCTTCTTTAAGATGTCGTGCGGTGTGTTATTTTTTTCTCTTGTAGCACAGAACTAATATGATTTACCGCTAAGGACCTATAATGGCTCGTTTAATTTTTGAACAGGAGATACGTATTTCCAAACAAATTGTTTAGCTGTTTCATAATGAAGAGAAAGAAAGCAGGTTCAACGAGTAAACAAGAAATTGATATGGAACATAGAATCTAAGTTACAAACTTTCTGTAAAAAATCTATTCAAGAAATATTATTAGTTTAAAGTATAAATGAAGCGAAGGGGCGCGTAAAATGCTGTTTTAGAAATTATCAAGTTATTGTAGACGTGGCTCATGTTAATGACAGACTGTTTGAAAACTGTTTGGTCAGTGAAGCAGTCCCGAGTAAAGTTCTTTTCTCTGTGCAGTCTTAAATGCATTCAGCTGTTACAGTGTAAAGAACCCTATGAGCTTCTGCAAAGCATGAACTTTTAAAACCGTGCAATAAATGATTTGAAATAACAGTATCATGTAATGAATTAATTGACCATTTCAAACTTGAATACACTAACAGAAAATATTATGTGTGGAAAGGCCATGTTGAATTGTACTGTTGGAATATTTGCACCAAGGGATTCTAACATGGGTCAGTCTTCGCTTGCTCACTGTGGTGGAAAATCTCGTTCCTGTTACCTCCGTCGTCAATCCGGCAAAGAGACAAGTAAGAGAGATCCTGGGAGCGATGTTGGTTAAAGAAACCTCAAGACCGTCTTCTAATTGCTACCATGACGTCTCCTAGTTAAAAAATATTTCTTGCTTACCGCAAACAAGCCACAGAGTTGCTATTCGCTAAAGCGAATAAAATATAAATAAAATCTTAAATTTAATTCAACAGACAGTTTTTGGACCATTTTGAGCTATGAGCGTCATGTGACGCTTCATCGTAGACGTACGTTGCTTCTGCAGCTATTTCAACACTCCTTTCCTTCCAACTTCATCAAAAGCTGGTTAGGATCAAAATGAACATCAATTGATTTGATTTTTAGGTTCTCGTCCACCTCGGCCATAGCCATTCCATACATTTCAAGCAGTTCGCCCGTTGGGGCTCTTCCTTTGTAGGGGCCCGTCCAGTGGGCCCAATGGCGCCACGAAAAGGCCACCCGTGGAGGTCCTAGGGGACAAAAACACCCACATAAGTGAAAATTAATCAATGCACTTTGAAAAACTCCGCATGTTTTAGCAGCCTCGTCATATAAAAATGTTTATCTATCTCTACTTAGGAATATCAATATATATCCACTAGACTTGGTATTGCCAGCCAAGAGGCTAACCTAAACAAACCTTAACACTGAAATCTTTCAATTACCTGAAAACACTTCTATCAGTTCCCATGGAAACCCTTGGTCGAATGCAGACCTGAACAAATCATGTGACGATTCAAACGTATGAGCGTTACTGTTGTACAGCGGCTGGTTTTGCATCAGTACGTTATAATTTCCTTCTTCAATCCCTTCTTTCAGCGAAAACGAGCGCTGGTTGTTCGCGCGGATGGTGAAAGCTTCTGTGTCAACAGTTTGCCAATCCTTTAGCAAAAAAAAAAGAATAGAAGAACAGAAAGTAAAGACCATCTGAATAGATCTCTTTTTAAAAAAATGATAAGCATGAAGTCAAAGTGCGTTCGTGCATAAAATGAAATGTAGATCTTGTAATTTCACTACTACTGCAAGTTCTTTTGATGGGCTCTGCAACGATAATCAAACTAACAATTTTCATCTCAGTTCTCTTCGTATCCTGGTTTCATTTTTATTCATACTAACCTGTATATACACGAAATCAAACGCACCACTATCATCCACTTTTCTTAAGTAATACTTAGGAATCCACTGGAAAAAACATGATTTGGTTCACATTATGTTGTGGTCACAGTTCAGTTGGTAAGTTCTAAATGAGTTTCACAAATAATTTGTGGTCACGATCTATTTGATATTTCTTTCTTTCTGCAAGATAGATTTTTGATTTTCCTCATACTCCCTTGTACTATGATTACAGAACATACAACGCCAGTTGACTGGCATTAATACAAAAGTCGATTGATGTGGAATTATCACATGCATATTGAGAGAAAAAGGACAATTGTGTTATACTTAACAGAAAGTATTAACCGTCGGGTAATTATGTTTAAGAACATAACACCTCTCTATTTACCTCAGTGTTAGTTTTATGTGAAGCTTCCATTTCCCATGATTTCACCAGATCTTCGACAATCTTCTCTAACGAACCTTCCTTATGAATTCTTGTCCTACCCTCTAAATAAGCTTTATTGGCCTTGGTGTAGTCAGGTTTGCCTTCACGCCACTCAATGCTCGGATCCTCCATGAATTTTTGGCGAGGACAGACGTAATTGTTGTCTGCCATTGCATAACATTGAACGGATGCTAATGTCTTCTTGTAACGTCCCTGTCGTCTAAAATGTTCAGCAGGTTTATAAATAGAAGTTAAATGGACTACATCTCCCTTGGGAACTAGTTATGATCTTCTTGCTATTTAGCTTTGGTAAATAATTCATCTGCTCGCCTCAGACGACTAATCATCCCTCGTCACACCACTCTTGCATAACACAGCGAACAAAAAAGGATATGAATCTGTTTGGGGTTGTCAAAATCTAGCCTGGAAGCATGGAGCAGATGGAGGCATGGGCTAATTCAGGAGCCATTACATGGGCTCCTGGATAATTAACTTATTCCTCTAAGAATATGAATCACCTTATTTGCTTGAACTCGTCCAATAATTATTAAATGCTGTAGACAAGGATTAAAACGTGTTTGACGGGGCAAACAGAATTCCTTCAAACAGTTTGTTTAAATCTCCTCTTTTTGACTTACATTTTGCCTCTTTTTATTCACAATCGGCCACAATCAGCACCCTTTTTTTTTACGACACGCGGTCGAGTGGTCTCATAAAGACCTGCAGTTCGTGCATGTTAATCACCTCAGAATTCAGCAGTTCAAGCTTTATTCACCTTAACATTCATTAAATTAAATTTAACAGCAGATGACTGCAACGACGCTGAATAAGAACGTAATTCAGCAGGAGAGCATTAACAAAGAATGTAACGCATAAAAGCATTCCAAAGAACATGAATTGAATACTACATGGTGCGTAGGCTGTGCAGGATGACGGCACGGATTCATTTGATCAACCGCGAACACGTACACAAACGTTAAAATAGCAATTTACATAATGGATTATTTAAGTGAATATTTAAAAGTAATATTAAGATCTACTGGTCTTGGCCATGCACTCCTCTCTTAGAAAGCAAACGTACAATGAAAGTATGTCAAAACTGCGGGTCATCTTATAGGATCATTTCAAACGGAGAAATATATGAAGTATTTTTCCATAGTAGTAGTTTTGTTGATTTTCAAGTTCCCTTTTTTTAGATACCTGGAGAAGGTATACCGATGAATAATATCACATGTTAGTGCAATAAACATCAGTTAACTTCTTAATAACAGATTATCAGCAGTGAAAACTTTCCCAGCAGTAGTGATAACTATATATTTTGAACAGTGCTCACCTTAAACAGCGTCTAGGGAAGATGACCCTGATGTGATAAACGCAACTCGAGAACGGGAGAGACTTTCTTGTTTATATACTGCCTATGACGATATTTCCGGAATGTTTGTAATAATGGAGCCCCTCCTTTATCTTGACGTAATCACAGTACAACAAATTCCTACAAAGACCTTTAATTGGCACTTATCAAAATACTGGACCCCTCGCTAGCTCCTACTTACTGCAGCGAGTATGGTTGCAGAATGTGACTGACTTTGATGGTTTTTGAACTTCGATGGTTTGACATTTTGACAGTTTTAGTCTTGTACAGCCAATTAGATTATTTGAACCATTCTAACAGGGATTCTGATTGGCTTATTGTAGCGTGCTTTATGAGAGTCGGAGCATGCTGACGACATTGTTGTTCGCTTTAGAAATGAAATTTGTGTTGGAAATTGAAAGTAATGCGTGGAAAATTTAATGGATTCTTTATTATAAAACAAATAGAGAAGCCTTGACTGTGCTCTGTTCTTCCAGTTTGGCTATATTTTTCAACATTCCTGTTTTGTTCTGTTTTGCTTTTGAACACGGAATTATATATACTACGCAAGGGTAGCTGTGTAAACAAACCTTTGTCTGAAAAAAAAACAGAGAAAAGTCTCGGAAAAGGTCGAACATAGAACAATTTGGCAGATGACGTGACAGCTTTAGCTCAGCTCTATGCTCTCTACTCTCATAGAGCACGCTCTTTCAACTAATGACAACGCGCGTTATGTCTAATGACAACGCGCGTTATGTCCGAACTTTATTATAAATCAAATTAAGATAGAATTAATTCAAATGACATGAAATAAGAGAAGAGAAGTGGTTTATTTTAACATGATAATGTAATCGGCGAGTTTTCCAAGGCAAATGTAAATAGAGAGTAGAAAAACACTTCTAATAAATAAAAGATTGGTTAAAAGTCTGAAGTGGCGGGAGGCAGGCCACATGGTTAGTTGTATTCATGTAATAAGATGAACTATACATGCGTTTTTATTGTTTTTTTAATCAGATTATCATGAATTATTGGTGGACAGACGTAGAGATGCGGTAACTATTATATTATATAAAAACAAAATGATTCCATTTTCCTGCCGTGGATCTGTTTAACTAGCAAGAGATCACAAAAAAAGTTAAAATGTGATAAAAACATCACTGACACACTCGACTGCGCCTTGTTTGCCACTTTTTTGTTCTTTTCACATTTTGACGTCATCTGTAATCACTGAACAGGTGCACAGTAACATGGAATCTATTTATTAACTAGCAATAATCAAAGATTAGTAAAGTGCGTTCGATCTTTAGTAAAAGATTTTTTCATTGTACTGATTGCGCAGAAAAAAAAAATCGGTGTCCTCAGCTCAAGGCGGCCAAGAAAACATTTGCACATGAGATCGAGGCTATTTGTGCCACATAGCCAGCCAGCCAGTCCGCCGGTCCAAAATTGCGCCCAATGCCTGAAATCACATGGTATCACAATCGGTCCCCTTGGGACTGGTCCATAAAACCCTCGAGAGTGATTTCCGTTAAAACGACACGATTAGTATGCGTTCTCCTTCGTCGAACGCAATTACAGAATACCGTCAAGGAGGGACTCGAAGTAACCCATGAAATAGTTTGGTAAGCGCCAGACTGATTTAGTTGAACCCAAGACCTCTGAGTCCCAAGGCTAGTACTCCGACTGCTCAGGAACTTTTTCTCCTCTAGTTTGTAAAGAAGTTATCTTAATCTAAATAAACTATTAAAGAAATTAGTCTTCATTTCCGTGCTTTAACAAACAAGAACTTAATCAGAGCAGATAAAATGACTCGAAACAACAGTATCATGTTATGAATTTACTGATGTAAACTTAAACGCACTGAACAAAATATTCTGAGAGCAAAGAACTATGACACTGTATTTATGATAAACTATTAGACGGCGCTCTGTCGCTTGAGTATTTGCGCCGCGGAATTCTTAAAGAACCAAAATAAAAAAATATTTTAAATGTCGGAAATAGGATACTTAGTACTGAGTTAAGCTAATGTTAATGTAATAATTGTGAAAAATCGGCCTAGAAATTGAGCGTCACGTTATGTCGGCTCTGATGAATAAGTCTGTTTATCTTTTGTCTGAGAGATCTTTATAGGAAATCACCTTACGTTTGATTAAGGTGTGTCCATAAGATAAAAGAACGGTTGATTGTAGTTTTAGTCAGTCTGAGATATTGTTGTGTTCGCGAGAGGATCCAAGAAATCAAAATTCTGAATGGGAAAAGCGACAGTGTGGGTTCCTTTATTCCCAACATAGTTTTCCCTCAAACAATGTGATGGAAAATCCCGTTTCTGTTACCTCCGTCGTCGATGAGAGAGAGACAGTTAAGAGAGACCCTGGGAACGATGGTGGCTAAAGGAACCTTATGATTGTCTTTTTTTGTTTGTTTTCGTGACTTCTCCCAGTTGAGATTCGCAAGAGTTTTTATTCACTAACGCGGTTTTTGTTCCCGTTAATGTTATCGAACGGACAGTTTTTGAAATATGAGCAACAAAGTTTGAGGACACTTAACCATTTATAATGCTTCTGCAGCTACTTCAACAATTCTTTTCCTTCCAACTTCATCAAAAGCTGGTTAGGATCATAATGAACGTCGATTGATTTGATCTTGAGGTTCTCGTCCACCTCGGCCACAGCCATTCCATACATTTCAAGCAGTTCCCCCGTTGGGGCCCTTCCTTTGTAAGGGCCCGTCCAGTGGGCCCAATGGCGCCACGAAAAGGCCACTTTTGGGGGACCTGAGGGACAAAACACCCACATAAGTGAAAACACGGCATGTTTTTGTAGCCTCGTCATATAACGGCGTTTCATCTCCACTAGGGAGTACAGTATCAATATGTACTTGCTAAACTTACCTGAAAATACTTCTATCAGTTCCCATGGAAACCCTTGGTCGAATGCAGACCTGAACAAATCATGTGACGATTTAAACGAATGATCGGTATTGTTGTATAGCGGCTGGTTTTGCATCAGTACGTTGTAGTTTCCCTCTTCAATCAATTCCTTCAAAGAAAACGAGCGCTGGTTGTTCCCGCGGATGGTGAAAGCTTCTGTGTCAACACTTTGCCAATCCTTTTGCCGAAAACAAATTAATAAATAAACAAACAGACCGTGAAAACGTTTCAACTTTCAACTCAATTCTCAATGTACATACTATCATCCATTTTTTTTTAAGTAAGCGCTTAAAAAACGTGACTTGGCTTTTAATAAGATGTCGTCACAGTTAAGTTGGAGTGTTCCAATATCCTCCAAATGTGAATGAAAGGTTGTATATCTTATAATTTTGCTTTGTTTTTTGATATGAGTTTCACAAATATGCTGTGTCATAGTGACTATCAGTTCTTCTATTTATTTATATCAGCTTTGAAAATTTATGATTCTCTCTTTAGCCATGATTACAATATATTACACGACATCAGAAAAAAGTTCAATTGATTTTTAAATACATCACATATTTTCCGGTAATTATGTTTAAGAACATAATACCTCTCTATTTACCTCAGTGTTAGTTTTGTGCGAAGCCTCCATTTCCCATGATTTCACGAGATCCTCGACAATCTTCTCTAACGAACCATCCCTATGGATTCTTGTCCTACCCTCTAAATAGGCTTTATTAACCTGGGTAAAATCAGGCTTCCCTTCGCGCCATTGAATTCCCGGATCTTCCATGAATTTTTGGCGAGGACAAGCATAGCTAATATCTTCCATTGCTTAAAATTGACACTTAAGTCTGGTAATTACGTTACTCCGGTTTAGAACTTGAAACAAAATTGCTAAAAAAGCGGAATATGCCTTGTGCAATCGCAATATAATTTCCCTCCCTATAGTTCGTTGGTTTGCAATTCGGCCTTGGCAAATGAAACGCATTTAAGTGTCGTATATAAAGAACCAAAGTTATCACAACAGCCAATTAGAACAAGGAAAAATTTCACAGGAGGCCAGTGAGAACTCAAAGCTAAATATCGCAGATAAGAATCAGAACTTAGGGCAGAATGAACTGAATTCCTTAAAACAGTTTCTTTAATTTCTCCTTTTTGACTTCATTTGTTCTGTGCCACTTCCAGTCCCAATAAGAAGCGAGTTTATCTTCCCCACAAGATTTTCGCCGGTAGTTATTTCCTGTGTGAGGCTCAACTGATAGAGAGTAAATCAAAGTTTCATTGAACTGTCTGCTGAAAAGTAACGCTTATTGAAATGGCAGTTGAGATCTGATTTCGGAAAGTTTTATTGATGGATGAAAAATGGGCTAAAGTATTAATAATGAGTGCATAGGGTTTGCGTTGAAATTGTGCATATGATGCACTCGCACAAACATGGACAATATTCACACGCTTTCTGTAGAAACCTTAATGATAACGAATTTTAAAATTTGACGGCCGAAAAATACGAAAAACAATGAACTGTCAAACCCTGTACGGCTGAAGAAAAAAAACCTTATGCAATAACATAGTAGTAGTTTGTATTCCAAGTTTGACCCTAATAAAGCTTCATATGAACCAACATCGAATCTGATCAATTTGCGGTTGGTCCAAATAAGTGTTAGATTGGGCACTCGAGAAGTTCAACTTCTGATCTGGACCTAAGAACTTGATTTCAACTAGTGCTTACTTAAACAGTGTCGAGGGTTGATGACGACGATATGATGGAAGCAACCAGCGAATAGGGAAGACTTTCTTTTTTATACTGCCTTAGATACATCTACTTTCCTCAGCATGAACGTTACAATATTTTTAAAATGTTTGTTAGATTGGACCCCTCCTTTTAATTTCTTCAAGAGTGAGGGCATAAGTGGCAAGACCAGGGGAATGGTATATTTTATGCAGAATATGATACTTCCGGAATGACGTCATGGAACTAATTTCAATCCACACACCATCTTCTTTAAACCTCTGCGGAAAGTTTTAAGGTTAGAATAAGTCTGAGAATTCTTTAGGCGATTGACTGATAAATGATATCGCCGATTGCAGGAGTTAATTTTTTAGTTCTTTATTTTAACAGTCAGCTGATAGATGATACCACCGATTAGTGCTATAAACATCAACTGACTTCTTAACAGTTTGTTAGCAGTAAAAACTTTGCCAGCAGTAGTGATAACTATATATTTTGAACAGTACTTACTTAACAGCGTCGAGAGACGATGACGACGATATGATGGAAGCAACCAGCGAATAGGGAAGACTTTCTTTTTTATACTACCATGGATACATCTACTTTCCTCAGCATGAGCGTTACATTATTTCTGGACCCTCCTTTAAATTTCTTCAAGAGTGAGGGCATAAGTGGCAAGATCGGGGAAATGGCATATTTTATGCAGAATATGATACTTCCGGAATGACGTCATGAAACTAATTTCAATCCACACTCGTTCCTAACCTTCAGCATTTGTTATCTTAAGGCGGCCTGCAGAGCAAAACACTACTAAACTAATGAAATGCAGCACCACGGGAATTACAACATGGGGAAGGTTGGGAACGGGAGTGGGTTGAAATTTATTTGATGACGTCGTTCCACAGGTTTCATATTCAGCATAAATTATACCATTCCAGAAGTCTTGCATGACAACTGATGCTATTCCACCCCATTCCCACGGTTGCACGTGCGGCGGGATTTGGTCATCAAGGCTACAAATGAGATCGATTATTTTATCACTGAGATTCAGTTCGTACCAACGTTTTTCCTGGTATACTTCGTCTGAAACAACGATCTGAATGGCATGCGTGAATTGATGAAGTCTTTGGGAAGCACATGTATAATAACTGATGTATTGTGGAAACTGAAGGACAACACAACCGTGACCGTGACTCCTTTTATTGTAACGCAATGTAAACGTCCTTCATGGTTGCAGTTTGAAGGCTGCCAGCAAATGCGCCCCGAAAAATGTCAATATCACGTTTGATCCAGACTACAACCCGCTTGAATCTATTGCAAAGAAAACTTTCCCGTCAGAATCTGTGGAACTCGTTGCAGAATGCAGCGAGAACTTCATGCTCATGTTTACATGGTCTTCCAATCCGCCATTTTCATAGCTCACAACAGAGGCAAAGAGAACTCCGTGAGTACGATGAGGTGTTCAAAAAGTCCATAGAAGAACCAGAAGAATTTTGGGCAGAGTTGGCAGAAGAAATAAATTGGTACAAGCCATTTACGAAAGTTCTGGACAATAGCAACCAGCCTTTTACAAAATGGTTCGTGATTCTTGTTCAAAAATATATTCGTGTCATGAAATTTTACTCCAACTGGGTGAGCTGAAATCAAATGGATATTGTAAATCGATTAGATGAGAAGAGAATGATCAGAATCTGAAAAAAAAAACGTGTTGCTCTGATTATTTCTCACAGAACTGGCAGAAAGCATGGCATCTTGACTTTCTTTAGTCTTGTATTTAATTATCCCTAGTGTTATTATCATGATGGTAACAAGAACGATGAGCTTAAGCTGGCTTAATTGAACTCTAATTTTCTTTGCAGGTTTGTTGGTGGTGAGATGAACACTTGTTATAACTGCCTTGATCGACATATTGAAAATGGAAGAGGGAAACGAATAGCTTTGATTTATGACAGTCCATTGAATGGCAAAGTAGAAATGTATACATACGAAAACTTACAACGTTTGGTAAGCATACGACTTCGTGTTATGCTTAGGTTATTTTCTTCCCTAAATTGAGATGAGCCTATTTAGTTTTTAATGGGTACAATTACAGTTAATGATTTATTACTAACTTTGCTTGTGTCTTGACTCGGAATTTTGTTGTCATGTATGAAACTGCTTTCTGTCTATTAATGAAATCCAGGTTTGTTTCTAGGTTGCAAAGTTTGCTGGCGCTCTGGCACAGTTAAATGTCGGCAAAGGAGATCGAGTTGTTATTTATATGCCAATGATTCCACAGGTAACTTTAATTACAATGAACACAGTCATCCAACATAGCTGAAAGAGACTCAGCATTGCCCCTGATTAAATGTTTCTACTTAACCCTTTAATTCCCATGAGTGACTAAGACAGAATTTCTCATTACAATATCAATACAATATCATCCAGATAAGTGATGAGAATAAAGAAAAATATCAATTTGGGAATAAGTAGTTGATCCAATACTAAATTCTCTGAACTAACACTATAAGAATTGTATGATTGACAGTAGAGAATTACAAATTTGGTCTGGGAGTTAAAGGGTTAAGGCTACAATTGTGGGAGACATAGAAGCCTGATGATTAGTGCACTGAACCTTGGGTAAAGAGGTCTGGGTTTGAGGCTTTCAGCCAGGTTATTGTGTTGTGTTCTTGGGTAAAACTGTTAACTTTCACAGTGTCTCTCTTGTTATCCAAGAGCATAAATGGGTACTGGCAAAATGTCAGGGAAGCCATGATGAAATGCTGGGGTCTTGTATCTGGTCCATGGGGAGTGGTGATGCTCTTAGCTACTTGGCTAGAGTACAGTCTTAAACTGAAGCTGTTACATTCTTGCTCTTAATGTACCTTGATTTCCTTTCATTTTGCTTAATTAAACAAGAGAGTAGCTTCTGCTTCTCAAAGGAAAATTGTTCGCACTAGTATGGTACTAAATTCAGAATTTTTGTTCCAGGCTGTGATAGCCATGTTGGCTTGTGCTCGACTTGGTGCTATTCACTCTGTTGTATTTGGAGGTTTTGCTGCACAAGAGTTGGCAAGGAGAATTGAACATGCTGAAGTAAGTAAGCAAATTCATACATTTTATATACTTGTTACCTGAGAAACTTGTATCACTGTTACAGATTTGTACAATAAAATTGTTTGATTTTTTTTCTTAGCCACGGGTTGTGGTGACAGCGTCTTGTGGTCTTGAGCCATCTCGTTTGGTCTATTATAAACCACTGTTGGATGAGGCCATCAGGTTGTCAAAATTCAAGCCTTCGACATGTGTTGTGTACCAAAGAGACCAGGTAAATGTCTCTTACATAAGCAATAATTGTTAATGATAATTTTTTTGACTGAAGAAATCTACTATATCTTGTGGTTAGCGGTACAATTACTCTGAGAGTCAACTTTTCCATTATTAAGACATTCAAAAGATGACTTGTATAAGTACTATTAAGCTTATAGTCATGTTATCAAATAAAGTTATCATTTACTTTCCTTTTATGTAGTGTTCAGGGGGGATTATTCCAGGGCAGGATATCAGTTGGGATCAAGTGATGGAGAAAGCACAGCCCCATGACTGTGTACCTGTGCTGTCAACTGATCCTTTGTATATTCTCTATACATCTGGTACCACAGGTGACCCAAAGGTAATAAGCTCTCTAAAAATTATGTTAGGCATAGGGTGATACATTCATGATGTCTCTCAAAATGTTAATTTCATATACCAAAATTGATAAAACTAGAAAATTAATCACTACTTGGTACATTGATTAAATTTTGTCATTGTTAGATAAAAACTATGTAATGTTGAAATTTTTCATTGTATCTGTCTACACAGGGTATTGTTCGACCAAATGGAGGGCATGCTGTAGCTCTTAATTGGAGCATGAGAAATTTGTATGGGATTAATCCTGGAGAGGTTAGTAAGCATGGCTGTAATGATAACTGTTAGTTGCAATTTTCATTTATTTTGTACCAAAACTAATTAGGGATTGCAATAGTTTTACTTCTCAAGCCTCCATGACTGATCGAGAAATTGTGCCTCCTGCTGAACTACAGATACAAGTTTAAAAGCAGTTACAATTTTGTTGCATATGTTTTCCAACACTTCAGGCAATTTAAGATGTTT